ACAACCAATAAAATACATAATACCATTTCAGATAAGGATATGACAGTAAATATCCGTATCACCATTTAACCATTAGTCATAGACAAGGACAGAAGTTCTATAATAAGGAAACAGAAAAAGAATATTCTAATATACCTGCTGCAATCATAAAGATAGGCAGCCACTTTTCAGGGTAACGTACACAGAATATAATTTCCCAAGCATAATATAGTGATAAGCACAGTAACAGCTTATCACAATTATATATCATTACCATCTAACAATTTATATACATAGGATAATTTCTAGATGGATAGTTTTCCATTAGTTTATTTTTAACCTTTAACCTGGAATAAAACCACACTGGACATTTAACTTATTCCCTGTTTTTATTTTTATTCTTTTTATTTTTCTGTGTAAACCAATCCCGTTTACCACATTTAGAACCTATTTTACACGATGGCCATCTTTAAAAAAGCCAAGTCGTTACTCATACAGTTCTGCGTTAGGTTGACAGGAATCGAAGAATATGATTTAGGTAGATAGCAGATTAAGTTGCTCGAAAAACGGCAGTGAAAAACTTTTGCGTCTGGAATTCTTTGACGCAACATTAAATACACTGCTTAAACTACTACACTGTGCGTCTCTCAAACTGGTGTGTTATTTGGTGATATTGTTGATTAAATCGAATATATTGAGCCAAGAGCAATAAAAAAATCGAACTCGATCTTGTCTCAACAACTATCATGTATCAAAAGCTTATCCATGAACATTCAGAAATGAAATGCATCCTTGTGAAGCTTTTGTTGGTAGAGATTTCAAACAGTTGATACAAGTCCTTCCTCTGGTTTTTGGATATGGCAATAGTATACTGGAACCGGTCCTCGCAAGTTTTGTTTGTCTGTGTAGTAAATTGGTAGTGTGATTTAATGAAAAAAAAATTAAGCTCGTATGTTTATACAATGTTCACGAAATAGCACAAAATGTCTGCCATCCATAGATGTGCTACTTGCATGGTCATATATTAAATTAGTTGTATCATACCGCAAGGTCATAGCAAATTATTTAAACCCATCCGGTGAAAGCAACGTTTTATAGAGTATATGCCTAGTATTTGATCCCTACTGGACCTACAGACAATACAACCATGATTAAATTGGGCAAATAAAATCACTGAATTAGTTTTGTATTCTTTAATTTAACTATAGCATCAATTAGGTAAGTTGACGGTAGTTAGTCAATTTCTCACTTTCATATTACCTTCTTCTTAAAATTGCACTATTAACCTCATTCAGTCTTTTACTTAAAACCTACTACCAGAGTAGTCGCAGCGACAGGGAAAAGAAAAGTTGTTATCTTGTTGCATGCACGAATGAGGATGCTTATAAAGTTGTCATTTTTGGAAAATTAGCCTGATTGACGACTGTCGCTTTATACTAATAAAAATTTATATGGGTTGGTAGCTTAAATGCGGATTTATTCAACAAAACAAGAGTTGGTATCAATTTATCTCCATCTTGCGTGGAGTAGATTGGAAGACAAACGTCTTCTCTAATTTATTTATTTTGATGCCATGGAGAGCTAGTAGAAAAGCCTGTGGTCAATTTGCGACTTTTTCGCCCTAATGCCCAGTGATACAATTTCAAATAATCATAATAATAAAAAAAAGCCAGAAAGACAAGTTCCCATAATTTCGATCCGGAGATATTAGAGTTATTAAATAAATATCACGCAGTCTCTAAAAGTTGTTATAATATTAAGCAGTTTGTTGATGAGTCTTAGCTTATAAAATTAGTCTAATAACAGCATAAACGTGTATGGCAACTTCTAATTTATTGCTTGGATCAATTATGAGGCTGATATCGGATAAATAGTATAGTGTATTAAATATGCCTGAAACATTTTATATTGATTTATGTCAAAAGAGTATCTCCCCTCAAATAAAGATCATACCTTAGCCATTATAGGCATTTTGGTGCCTGCTGAGATACAACATGTCTTTATAAACCAGCATCGTTTGGCAGATTTGTATATTAGCTTTTTTTTTTATCTTTTTTTTCGAATATTGTCTATTTTTCTGCCTTGACAGCTGTCAGCCAGAAACGAATTTAACATGCCATATTCTTAGGGAAGGACAATAAGGGAAATAGCCGTTGTGAGAATGAAAAAAAAAAGCGCTAGATATTTTTTAAAAACAGCGTTTTTAATGTCCGTCGTGACTTTTTTGAAAGAAACCCACCATGTCTTTTTATTTTTTCTTTTTGTTTCTTTCAACTTTTTTTATTATTTTTCAACCCTTGGAAACTCTTTTATCTTTTTTAAAAGAGTCATTTTATCCCGAGAAAAGTTTAAATACATACGACAATAATACAATATGGGACATTCTTCACAAGATCATTCTAGAGATCCTTGGTAAGACATTCAAGTTTGTTTTTGTACCCTTGAAAACCCGAGTTTTTAACCCTTTTTGTTAGCCCTTGGGTCATCCTTAACGATTTAGGTGGTGCTTTTGTTATGGGTGCTGTCGGTGGTGGTATTTGGCATTCGGTTAAAGGAGCAAAGAACTCGCCCAAGGTAAATAGAGAATCCAATAGAAAAAAAAGGGGGGAGAGGAAGGAGGAAGACAGAGAGTTCTGACTATTTTATGAATAGGGTGAACGTTTGACTGGTGCAGTTTCTGCCATGAAGGCTCGTGCACCTGTTTTGGGTGGTAACTTTGCTGTTTGGGGTGGTCTTTTCTCAACATTCGATTGTGGTTTAAAGGGTATTAGACAAAAGGAAGATCCTTGGAACTCAATTATTTCTGGTGGTTTGACTGGTGGTGTTTTAGCCGCTCGTGGTGGTGTCAAAGCTGCTGCTGTCTCTGCTGTTGTTGGTGGTGCTCTTCTTGCCTTGATTGAAGGTGTTGGTATTGGTATCACTAGAATGACTGCCGATCAAAACAAGCCTGTCATGCCTCAGGTAAATAGAAATAGAATACGAGAGAAAAGGAAAGAATACTAATAGCTATTTTTAATAGATCTAAGAAAAAAAAACAAAAAAAAAATTACTAGATTACTTTTTTCTCTCCACACTATCCCCATGTGTATATATTATACGTCCTCTCCCCTTTCTTCCTTATATATATATATATATAAATATTTTTATTATGTATTAGTGCTTATTGTCCAGTCAAGATACCTGGATGTTATTATCATGGACTTTGCAATAAACGATTTCAGATAAAAAGCAAACACTATTCAAACTGAGCAACAATAGGATCTTAAAATGTGCTTAGATCACTGTAACATGTCAATCCTGCGTGAGCCTGAGAGTCAAACCAAAAAAAAAAAAAAAAAAAAAAAAAGATGGGGGATCGTAAAGCATAGATTCTGCATAGTATGTGACTTTGTTCTGTTAATTTAAAGGGCAAATAAGAGGCCGTGTGCGTGTTGGCTTTATTGTTACTGTAGAATACAGCAACAATTCGCACTGGGTTTATAAAGCCGTATTGGTAAGAAACAATACGCTTTTTTTTTCTTTAGCAAGTATAAAAAAGATAAAAAAGAGGAAACTTTTTTTTCTTCTTTTATAATTTATTCCGACCCAATGAGTTTGCAGAAGAACCTACCACCATGGCTACCTTTATCGTTTATATTAGCCCAACATCTTCTCAAACATAAATTGCATAAACGAGTGCTAACACCTGTAGAACGAAAATACTTTCAAGATGCTACAAGTTCTTTTGCAACGTGGATAGCGTTTATCAACCAGCACCATGATAATACTTTTATTGAATTAGATACAACCGCCTTTCGTGTTCGTTCTATGCTATATGAACAATTTATACCCCATCTATTTCATACACATCGGCCGTGTTGTAAGCTCTTGAATCTGGAACCGCTCATCGAGCAAGCGCGACATTTAGTCATGCCCTCATCACAAGACATTGCTCGAGAATGGGACGCTTTTGTTGAAACTCACGTCAAAAAACAAACATCATCCCAAGCACATAACAGCACCACTCATAACCCCTCCACCTCCATTGCCACTACCGCCAGTGCCGCCATGAACACCGCTGCTGACGATGAATTAAAACAGGAAGAAGAACAACCTCAAGGTATGCCCATTTAATGCTTGCTTGAACATCTTTTTTTTATATTATTCTTATAATAAATAGCCTCAACACCTACACCAACTTCTAATAAATCAATAGAGGAACCCGCAATGGCTTCTGACGACGTTCCCCTTCGAGATATTTTTCAGACGCTTGAGTCAGATAGAGCAGCTATGATTGAACAGCGCAAACTGGAGGTAATTATTCCAATATTTCGGCTCGTAATAACACAGATCAAACTCATAGTTTAATCATGTAGGAATTTGAAGCACAAGAGGAATTGAATGAAGAAGAAGAAGAGAAAGAGAACGCTGCCGCAAAATCTGTATGTCCTATATGTGTATTTTTATATTATTTCATAACATACTGATTAGTTTATTCTAGTTATCCATGTTTAACGCAGATGGAAATTTCAATCTAAAGGTATTCAGGAGTGCCACAAAAAAAAAAACGATTCGCAAGTTATGCTCACGTTTTTTTATTATTATTGGCATAGTATCTACTACAAGGCATAGTAGCCAATCGACAGAAAACGTCATTATCAGATCGTGAATTGCAAAATTTATTATCTGATTTCAAACCGCATAGATCAAAATGGGTAAATGTTAAATCATGGTAAAATTAAAACAGTGCCTTAATATGAGATTCTTAGGCAAATGATGATAGAGTGGGTCAGGAAGAGCTATACGAGGCATGTGAAAAAGTCTTGACCGATCTTAAGAATTATACCGAGCATTCTACACCATTTTTAAACAAGGTCAATAAACGAGAAGCGCCTGATTATTTCGAAGGTAAAATTGATTTCACAATCACTCCCCAAACAACGCATACTAAAAACAAAATTTCACTACCACCCCTTCGCCTTCCAGTTATAAAAAAACCAATGGATCTTGGGACTGTTACGAAAAAAATGAAGAATCTAAATTACAGATCGAAAAAAGAGTTTGCGGATGATCTTTATTTGATATATGATAATTGTCTTGCATACAACACCAATTCCGTAAGTAATGATAGTTCCGTACAATGTTATTTTCTATAAAAAAAAACGACGGAAATAACTCATTCTCGATTAGGCAAGTGAATATAGGAAACATGCAATTGCCATGAGAAGAAAGACAGAGAGATTAATGGCTAGAGTACCCAACATAAGTATCAAGGAAAGAATAGAGACAGAGATAGAAGAGGAAGGCGATGAGATGAGTGAAGAGGACGATCACGAACCTGAACGTGTCTCTAAAAAATCCTCTGGAAAACACATGGTTTCGATTGAAAGAAAAACAACACCCATCATTCCCAACGATCGACGACAATCACGCGAACGTTCCATGACACGCGGATCCAGTACAGCACCCTTATCAGCCATTGATGCGGCATTTTTAACAGATATGGAAGCTCCATTTACACCCGATAGAGTAGGTACACCACAACATATGCAGTATGGCGGTAAACACGTCAAAAAATCAGGGGATGGGGACGATGAAAACATTGATCTTGAACAAGAAGAAAAGACACTGGGTGCTGAGATTGATGCAGATGTTGGTGAGTTGCAAGATCAAGTCTGGAGAGACAAGACAAAAAGGACAAGGGCGAAATTGACAGTAAGTTCATTTTTTGTTTCTGATCTTTACAACTCTTTATATTGACTATGAGAAAATTAGACGGATGTTGAAAAACAATATCAATTTTCGTTCGGTGAACGAGAGGCTTTAGTGAGATCTGGGTTAGATATGGAGCGGTTTGCCATGATTGAACATGTACATGATAAACCGGATTCTGTCATGAAACTAATTCGGTGTGACCATGATCGTTTTCTTAAGTGGACAGACAGAAGACCAGGCCATACTACATTATACGATGATTTGGATTTGGACTCCAGCGACGATGAAAATCTAGACGCTTTCTTTTCTCGGAAAATCACAAAACCCAATAAAGTAGTGGACGACTCGGCTAAAACAGATTTATTTTTACCCGAGTATGAAATAACAAGTGGTTTACCGGAAGTCGATGGTGTACATGAGGATGTGTTGGAGACAGTACCATCTGAAAGCCAAATCACTGTGAGGAAATCTTCCGTAGATTTAAGTCCTGAAGCAACAATGGCTGTACAAGGGTAAGAAAGAAAGAAAGAGAGAAAAAAAAAAGGGAAAGGAATTTTTGGCACTTAATCTCATCTTGTCCCTAGTTTATCAAACATGTCTTTGGACGTTTACCCCGAATTAAAATTCCCTACTTATGGGCTGAATCCTATTATTGATCGCAACAACCGCACACTGGAAAAGATCAGGTTGATGTATGCCAAATGCAACGCTGTCCGTAATAATGTCCCGGTAAACCTTATAGTTTTTTTTTTTTTTTTTTTTTTTTTTTTCTGCGACAATACTAAGTTGTCAATCAAACATTCTTAGATCTCTACTTTAGCATCATCCATCGAACTAGACCCTATCTCCAATGAAGATTCAAAGCAAGTGGCGATATCTTCCAATTTAAAACAGATACCTCCACTGGCGTTAAATAGTGAATCAGGTCACCAAATGTCACAAAAAGTTCTAACAAAGCTTCTTACTCATGCTGGTTTTGAGGGAGCGAAATTGGGAGCGTTAAATGTGTTGACCGACATTATGACTGACTATATCACAAATATTGGAAAGACTTTACGATACTATTGGGATGACTACGGACATCAAATGGATGGGGATGTAAGCATTTTTGTTCTGTTTTTTTTTTTTTTTTTTTTTTGTTCAGCAATGAATATTTAAACTTTTTTGTTCAGGAAATGCTGCTTCATACGTTGTACGAAAATGGTGTCATGAAGTTATCTGAGCTTGAAAATTATGCGCATGATGATGTCGAAAGAGGAAGCGGTAGATTGGATGATTTACATCGTAGACTTCAGACTTCCTATCAAGACCTTCTCTCTGTAAGTTTATAATATAATATTAAATAATTGTGATACTTGGAGTAACATCTTGTTGTCAGGGCTCCACCGAACATTCTGCCGAAGACGAAGAGAACTTATTAAACGAAGAGGAGACTTTTGTAACGTGAGTACTTATTGGTATCCATGTGATGATTTTGTGCTGACTATAATCACTTACCAGGGGTATTTTTGGTGAGGATATTGGAGAGGATTATTTCGGATTTAAAAATATTGGACTGGATCAAGAGTATAATCTGGACTCACTCACCGTAAGTAAGACATACGTCAAATAAAAGAAACAAGTCGAACATCATGTATTAATGTGTATTTAGATTCCCAGTAGGTTATGGTTTGGTAAAAACAAGGAAAAGGTTCCAATTCACGGAGAGTAAGGTATCATTACATGATTCAATGAATAATGGACTTATAGGAATTTGCTGTGTTTGTAGTCTAGCAAAAGAAGTGAACTACAAGTATCCACCTCCACCCAACTTTCTACCGGTGACTACCGAAAGGCCTATCATTGGACTCTTACAACCTTATTTTGCAAAGCGATTATTAAACCCACCGGTGATTGAGGATGAATATATTCCCAACCGTAGCAAAAATAGACCACGCCATCCACCGACCAACAAGAGCGGTTCAGGTAAAAAGAAAATGTCCAAGGAATCTTCGGGTGGTGGATCAGGGAACGGGGGTGATAATAAGAAATCCAAACGAAAGAGACCGACAGAAGAAATTGTAGCAGAGAAGGCAGAACGAGCTGAAAAGAAGCGACAAAAGATGGAAGAAAAAGCACAGCGGATTGCTGAAAAGGAACAAAAACGTAGAATGAGAGAGGAGTTGAAAGAACAAGAAAAATTGGCAAAGATAGAGGCCAAGGAAAAGAAAAAGGCTCAAAATAAAAAAGTAAAACAAACCCATTCGGCTGCTTCTTCAACAAAAGGAAATTCGGTTCCTCCTGGTGGTGAATCCCCTAATATGGATGACGATGAAGATGATTAAAACACCTGCGTCATTGCTTAGATTTACATATTTTTATTTCTTGTATATATTATACATACAAATCATAGAATAAAATAATGCTATTTTGTAAAATTTACGCACTGTCCTTGATAGCAGACCTTTGACATCTATCAAATGACACTTTTACCTGCAGCATAAGGTTATGATAATTACGTGATGTATTCAAGCATCGGAAATGCACCACGCCAATAATATGTGTGAATAGACGTAGGTTTCAGACAGTATATTGATACTTTATCATTGGTGTAGTCATGGCAAATTTCGGTTTTTATCATTTACATACACTTCAATTAAAGATCCGTCTTTCAAATAGCTGGTGAAACCCGAGGCTTAAAAGGACGCTTTAAAGAACGATCGTGTCAGGAACGGTGCAGATAGCCAAAACTTTATTCAATTGGATTCAAAGTGTACTCAAAACCAATTCTAGGAGGCGGTAGACAGCAAAAATAATAAAACTTCTACAAAAATTCAATTCCGTTTCTGATGTATAATGCATTGGAACTAGGCTCTTTGTGTATTTGATGAGTCCACATACCCGAAAGATGACACCAGTGTATGTTTAGTGTTGATGTTTACTAATGCATTGGCGTGCTTATTATACCCAGGAACAACTGGAACCTGGTAATACCTGCTAAACAGAATGTCCTTTATTCATGCAATTGTCAAAATATGCTGGTTACACAGCACTACTGATAAAGTAAAGCCAGCTGGACGTTTTAAAACCCAACGAAAAGTACTGGCATTGTAATTGCAAGCAAACATAAGGCATAATCTGTATAAAAGGATTCGTTATAAGCTCAGGTTTATAGTAAGTGTTCTGTTTTCTAAATAAGCTTCTCAATTTATTTGTCTTGAATCTTATTTGACATGATTTAGAAATGTATTTACTGCAAATCGAGTTTAAAAAAAATGTATCGCTTTTAAAAGTGAAAATGTTAGGAACAGGCATAGTCTACTTAATGATCTTTGCAATAAGCCCTCCAAGCCGTAGATCAAACAGTGCGACTATGATGTGACGGGTGATACGATGTGGGAGTAACAATAACGCAAACTGTTTACTCATAAGTTTTTTTAAAAAAAACGATACAAGGTATAAAAAAACAAGATCTTTGCTTGAATCCACAACTAACAATTCTAACAGGACATGAATTTTGTATTGATTATGCTACGAAGCCATTATTTTTTTTTGAGGCAAGTAAAAAAAAGGGGTTAAACATTTAATATAATGCATTAGGGTTATACTGTGCTGGGACTGGGTAGAGTATAGTGAAACTGAAAAATAGAATGACACATTAAATACTCATACAATTTTCTAGGCCGAGTCAGACTGCTTTATGAAATTTTAATATGGTACTAGTCTACCATTGCTGAAGTTTGGACGTTTGTGGAACAAATAGTGTATGCCTTACACCTGTTACTGCTGACATAAAATCTGGGGGACTTGTTACTCCCTTGATTCATTGTGCTGGTATTCGTTTCGTCCCCCATCTTAGCAAGTTTAGCTGTTATTTTGGCATTTATAAAATCTTCTGTATCTGGGTAAATACGAGGTCTCATATTTTTTTTTTGTGAAAGAAGCACTGTTTATTGTATTGTCAATTAAATCAAGTTACATTATAATGCTCAAAGTCAACGTCATCTAAAGTAATTGAAATTCCGTTTCTCCCCCTTTTTGGCTCGGGTGACATGTCTGGGGGGAATAAAAAATGAGTTTACAAAAAAGGAAATTCTGAAAAGTTTGGCTATCGCCAAACTTTTCAGAAATTTTGAGATATAAAAGCCCTCTAGAGCGCTCTAGATAGCAGTTTGTGTTAACAAAATGCGTTAAAAAATTGTGTTAAAAAATTGTGTTAATAAAATGTATTTTATTAAACTTATTTGTTGAATTTAAAAGATAGAGTAATAGTGATAATAATAATAAAAAAAGAAGGATAACGTAAAAAATTCTAATTGATTGAAGCTGGACTTTGACATTTTTTTCTATCCCAAACACCTTCGCAGTCTTTACGCTTGCAATTCAGGCAAATAGGGTTTTTGCAGTTGGATCTTTTCATTTTTCCGTTGCAAAGAACAACACCGCATCCCTTACATGATTTCTTTAAAGTTGGGGGTTCTTTTGAATAAGGATGGTATGTTTGGGCAACTGCATTAGACCTATTGTAATCGGCTGTTCTACTTTGGATTTGAGGCAGGTTGTTATTGTTATATATAAATGACGCTGTTGTGTGTTGAGGAGATATTCTATAGTAATAATTGGTAACATTGGAACTGATAGATGAGGGATAAATTGCAGGCGTATTTTTCTCAGGTAACGGAATTTCCGTGGCAGGGAGTTGAATAGGCATGGTAGGAGCAGTTAGCACATTTTGATTATTACAAATATTAGGTAGAGATGGTATGACAAACGGCAAGTGTGAGCTGGTAGAATTTTTTTGCTGAATTTGGAGTTGTATATTTGTCATAACACTGTAATGAATTTCACGAGTGTTACGGGCAACTTGTTGTTCTTTCCAATGCTTGTAGTGCTTCTCTAAATGTTCTGGAGTTTTATAAAAGATTTTATCTCCATTGCATAATAAGTTCCAAGCTTTGGAAAGCTGATCGAAATTAGGATTAACTCTTGACGATGAATGCATAGCTTCGTTTATCATTCTCCCAAACAAAAGTTTTTCTTCCAAAGTATGAACAGCAATAACCGCATACTTTGTTTTCTGACGTGTTGCTACATAGTGATATCGACAATTTTTTTCCCTGAGGGTAGAACCTATCTTCAAAAAAACTGTGTTTTTCATTTTTGGTATTGTGTTATCGTTTTCAATATCGAATTCCTGTCCATCTAAGCTTTTTTTTTGTTATTCTCAGCAGCCTTTTCAATACACAGTCTTGTCATTTCTTCATCTGGTAATGGACATATACCGAATACTTCTTGAGAGCTACGGAATCTCAGTGCATTTACTTCAATTGCTATATGTCTATCGATGCTAAGATAGGGCATATCCATTGACTGACGCAGAAAGTCTAGATGCTGAGTTAACCAAGGATCGTAATGGCCTTTGTACTCTACTCCAAATCTATTAAAAGTTCCAACGTCAAAGTTGTGTCGTAAACGATATTCAACCAACATAGCCGAAGCAAGTTCAGGCCCTGCACCGAAAGACCCAAACTTTCTAATAAGGTTTTGATGAACCCCCCCTTCTAAAGAATTTGTTCCTCTTACACATCTGTACAGAGTAAGCCCATACTTGTCTTTCTTTCCTTTTTGGTAGTAAAGCTGAACACCAGGTGGATCTGATACGTGACCTAGCTGTACTGTCTTCAAAACACTTAGAGCTTGGGACCAAGAAACTTTATCAAACAAAACTCGTCCTGACTTTGAGCATTTTAAAGGTCCAAAAGAAAGAAACAGCGATTGCAATACCGGTAGAAGTACATTAGGAGAAGATATTTTTCGTTTAACTCTCTCCCAGAGCCATTTGCGATCGTACTTCATTTTCATTTCCCACGTCTCGTTATTATCTTGTAAGGCCTTCGTAACCAATGCTTTATCAGCTTCGTCTAACACGAAAAGGCTATCACTGAATCTTTGCATAAACTCCTTATAAAGACCATGTTGCTTATATGGCTTTATCATATCCATCAAGTGAAATGCATCCTTTACTACACGTGAGTAAATACGATCATCATTACTACTTTCCGAGGTAATTTCATTGTCAATGTTTAAGCTAGAGGTGAATAACACATATCCATGCTTAAATGTATTTTTATTCACACTGGTAGCGTTATCTTTAAACATTCTAGTAAAAGCAATATCAATATCCGCCTCACTAGTAGCCGAGTTTGATGCAGTTGTTGAAGGATTAATACGTGATTGAGACCTTAATACGCCTTGGATCGCACTAGAATTTTGGCGTTCGGATTGGGTGTTTTGAACCTCTGAATTTGTTGCAGTCATAAGATCAGCTTTAAACACTGTAATTACAAATTCAGGTTCGGTAAACGAACTTAAGGGCACTAAAGTCGGAACATCTCTTCTTTCAATTGCTGGTAAGGCAATCCCATTATCTTGCTTTACCATGTATCCTGGCACATTTACTTTCAGAATTCTTAGACGACAAGAGTTTTTCTCTGCACTGCTATTGTTTTCAGGCTGCTCAATTCGACCCGAAGCAATGACATGCTTCAATCCTCGCGGTTTTAAATCAACAAATACTCCTGGAACACAATTTTTCGAAGTTGTACGAGATCCAGCCTCTGGGACTTTCTTAACAGCTTCGAAAATGGCAAGACTAGCCCAAGCATCCAAGGCAGCATAGGCAATCTGTTCAGATGTGAGTGCCATACTGGACCAGTGACTTTCCCGCTCATCCTTTTTTATCCCTTGTCCCAGCACACGGAGAGCAATACCTGACAATGATAAAGTACCGTTGGGAATGATTTTTCTTGACGAACAAAACGAGCCCAACTCAATCTTTCCTCTGCAGCTAACGTTTAAGCCTCTCGAAAGTCTGCTCAAATCACCACCAACTTGACGACCAACCTTTTTAACAGATTCATTTTCCAGGATACTCACCAAAGAAGTAGGCAAAGAGGTCCAACATCTGTCAATGTGTAACACATATACCTTTTTCTTAAACGCTAATTGGACAACATCTACTTTGCAAATATCTACTCCTTGAGAATGGCTAATATCCCATTCACAATCAAGGCCTATCGCTGCTTCACCATTGATTCTTACTGATGATTCAATTTCTTCATGTAAATACTTTACGGAGCTTTCCATTAAATCAAAGTCGCGACAGATGTAGGAGACTTCAACAGCATCAGGTAACTGAAGGTAATTACAGCCATTGGATCCATTACTATTCATTTCATCAACCGAAGTCGGCTTAACACCTTCTTTCAACGATTCGAATATTCCTTCAACAAATGTTTGGTCACCTTTGACGTTATCGGTATAAAAAGCGATTGGCATTTCATGTCCATAGTCAGTATAAGCTTTACTCATTTTCTGAAAAGAATGCTTCAAATAGGACAATGCTTTTGATGGAACTAAAACTTGGTGCACAATTTCCTCATATTCGTTGGTCATGGTGTATAAGCCTGTGAAAACACTTGTATCTTCAATTTTAGCCATATGCTTTGGAAACTTAAACGAATGATCTCCTTTCAAAATCTTTCCATCCAAAAGCATCATATGCTTGTCCATCTTGGGTTGAAGAACCTCAATGATTGCTGTATATAATGTTCGAATGTAGGTTCCAGTGGGTACAAATCCAGCATATTTTTTTGATTATTGAATGAAGAAAATCTCTCGGGGGGTGAAGTCGCAAAATATTGAGAGATTCCGTTTCTTTTCTTGTACTCAGAAAGCAAATATTGAAGTTCAATTCTATCATGATGAAGTACGTGAAGCTCACGAAGTATCTTTTGAAATCTCTCTGGACCAACAGAGTTTTGAATACAGGGTCTCAGAAGATCGGCAATTACTTTTGATATACCTCCTCTGTGAGAAAGAACGGCGGGAAACTCGACTTGCAATTCAAGAGGAAGCTGTTCAATGATTTCTGGATCATGTGCATTATACGAAGCACCACATTTTGAGTCACAGCATCTATATCGCATTGACATAAGGTAAAAACAACTAGCGTGTCAAAAAAGTAGGGAACGAGGTTAGCATGCATGAGACATAAAAAAACTCTTCCCTGTAATACCTGAACATATCCACAATTCTTCGAGCGTGAGGCTTTTTATTGTAGCCTTTTGTCTCAAGCTTCTTGTTGCAATTGTTTTTAGTACATCTCAGTCGTCCCAAACCTTTGTTGAGTAAAAGATGAGGAATCCAAAGAAATACTCGTGGTCTATATAGATAGTTGATTTCCTTTTTCGATTGAAGAGCGAAAAAGGTCATCATGGGCTCTATCCAAAACGTACCGTTGTTGTACTCAGAAGGATATCCTTCGTTTGTTAAACGAATTTGAAGGTTCTCAAAATACTCGGTCAGAACACTATTTTCGGGTAATACATCATTCATTTCCTCCTCAACTGAATTTTCCACTGGATCTTCAACTAGATCCTCAACTAAATCCTCATTCAAAACATTGACTGGTTCTTGGACTAGATCTTCGCTTTGTTCCTGAATTGTGACATTGACATTCTAAAATATTTTTACAAAAAAAGAAAAAGAAAAAGAAAAAGAAGGCATGTCAACTCAAATAACTACGAACTATTCCATATTTTCAAAACGTTAAAAGACTAGAATCGACACTCACCTCGACAACTGGACCTGTATTTCTAACTGCATCGTTTAAACGGTTAACAATTCTGCTTAATGTAGGTTGGTTTCTGTCAAATCCTTTCGTAGAAGAAAACTTCGAGGTTTTGTAGGTTTTTCCAACTTTTTGCTTGGCCATTTAAAAATAGTTAAGAGGAATCAAGATCTAGTAAAGGTGTGAACGCTGACAGCTTATTTATTGTAGTTCTAGAAGAGTTTTTTTTAAATGACCGATGGTAATTTCGCAACCGACGGTAATCTCAAAACCTATTGGCTTACAATATCCAATTATATTGCTTATTACCGGCGGAGTAGTCCCCAGACACAGCAGCCTCGCCCCCTTTTTTACTGTTATAACGTATTAACTGAGGATTTGTGTAAAAAGAGCTCATAAAAATACACCTTTAAATACATTATGAACTATCAATGCAGAATATGAAAACTGTAAAATTCATAGGATACATCCTTTGAAAGCCTTTGTCTGGAATTTTTTTTTTTATTCTCTTTGTATATATATATATATTACGTTAGTCTGAATCATTTTTTTACTTCTGTCTGAAATATATTTTTGTTCATCTGAAATCATTTTTAGGTTTATCTGAAAATAAGTTTTCCTTGTCTGAATTTAAAGTGCTAATACTGTAATAATACTTTCAGGGCCTCAGCTATTTTCTTTGACATTTTAAGCCGGAGTTGAAAAGCATAGTTGACTTGATCCTTCTTTTTCTTATGTTTGCGCTTATAAATCATAGTTTACAAAAAATATATATGAATGATAGTTATTATGAGAGTATGAATATGTTCCTTTTTCTTTATAAACCGAAGGATATGGTTGGCATGAACAGTTTTTGAGCATATGTTTGTCACCATGGGAATCTGATTTTAAAAGAAAATAGTTTAGGCGCCTAACAAATTAAACCGTTTGTGACTAAATCTTGAAAAGGTCCCTTATTGAGATATCTAGAACAGTGTCTCATTTGTAGTGCAACAAGGATGAGCCCCATAGGGCCTTGAAAAAATAATCCAAGCACATGACCTGGCTGGCTGACTGTCTGAATTGAGTGATTTGGTCTCCCCCTCCCCCCCTTTTTTTTTAATTATTCTTTTCTTGTCTCCTTTTGTTTGTTTTGTTCTTTCTTTCTTTCTTCAATGTCTCCCCACATCCCTTTTCCTTTACGAGAGACAGCTAAAGTAGATGAGAATCAACCTTTTCAACCTAATTTGAATGTGTCTTTAACCTGTCCTGATTGTCGAATTAAACCACCACACATCGTCGAGGAGTTTGCATCTGGCGATTTAGTTTGTGGAGACTGTGGGCTTGTGTTGGGTGATCGTATTATTGATACCAGATCAGAATGGAGAACATTTGCAAACGATGAGGGAGATGTATGTGTTATGACTATAATAAATAACTCTTCATATTAAAAAACCTCCAATAGGATCCTTCTCGTGTGGGTGCTGCATCCAACCCATTATTAGATGGTGACCAATTAGACACAGTGATTTCACGCCGAGACGGCGGTACCGGTATCTCGAGAGATTTGAACAAAATCCAAGGCAGGGCCACTGCTCAAAAGGGAGAGAGAAACCTGATGCAAGCGTATAAAGAGATTACGGCCATGTGTGATTCTATTTCACTTTCCAAAGTGGTGAGTGATACGGCAAAGCAGTTATATAAACGTGTGGAAGATGAAAAGTTATTGCGAGGTAAATCCAGTGATGCTATTATTGCAGCGTGTATCTGTATTGCGTGTCGACAAGAGAGAGTAGCAAGAACGTTTCGAGAGATCTGCGCATTAACACGAGTTCCTAAGAAGGAAATTGGTCGCTGTTGTAATGCATTAAAAGCCAAATTACAAACAAGTACGTCGGTGATGAATTCTGAAGATTTAATGTCGCGTTTCTGCTCAAATTTACAGTTACCCAATTATGTTCAAAAATCTGGTGTGGATCTAGTCAGAAGAGCAAAAGAATTGGGTACACTTGCCGGCAAGTCGCCCATTTCTGTCGCTGCCGCTTGTATCTATCTTGTTTCCTATTTATTCAAGAGCCCAAGAACTACCAAAGATATCGCTAATGTTGCTGGTGTCTCCGAAGCCACCATCAAAGCTGCCTATAAGTCCTTGTATACAGAGAAAGAAAAATTGATTGATTTGGAAGCGTTAAAGGGAAAACCCAACTGTGAAGGCATTTCGTTTGATGAGCTAGTATTACCTTAAGCACTTTCTTTTTTTTTTATTTTTTTTTTTTTGAAACATCCTCCTGTTGTTTCTCCGAGCTTCAAATGATGACTATTCTACTTTCTTTTTTCTTTTTCTTTTTTCTTTTCTTTTAATTAAAAATAAAATCATGGTTCGTGTGTACTGTGACGAAATTACTAGTAAACTAAAGGCGTCACAACCGGGCAAAAGAATGCCTTTGTTGTGTTCTGTAAACCGTTCTTTGGGCTGGAGAATTATATCCGAAAACTACGAAGAGTAATATATACTTAATGCATTGATTAAAGGGTCCCATTTTTTAAAATGAATCATTGTATTCTATAGACATGAAAAAGGTATTCGAACTGAACATTTTGATTTCAACAAGTATGGGATCAAGGAAGATAATTTGACAGCAATGGCAATTTCCGACGTAACACAAACATATATCCATGCCAATCATTTCTTTTGACCTTTCATAAACTTAGGGAACCGGTATTATTGCTGTTGGCTCGGGCGGAAAAGATGGATATTTATATTTCCTGTTTGACAGATCGGCCGAAAGAGACTCGGGATCACGGCTAAGATTCAAAGTAAGAAAATATAAACGGAGAATACTCAAACAGAAATTACCTATAGACTGGCCATTTTTTTTTTCATAGCCTGTTCATAAGGAAGTCATTGGGGAACCCATTCACTCTCTCGATTGGTCTGGAAATCACCTGCTTGTTGGAACAGTCAAAGGAGTTACAAAGTTATACAATGTAAATTACGATGATAATTTTGAAATATCATGTATTGGTCAATACGTCAATCCTACATCTGGGGTACGATATATCTTTGTGACAAAAAGAGAACAATATTTAATATTTTTTTTTGATTCAAGACTTCGATGTATGCTCCTTTATATGTAGTTAACTCGCATGTGAAGTCAGCAGAATTTGCACCCAATTATTCATCCGTTCATACAAACAATGTGGGTGAAACAACGCATTTCTTAACAACAACCATGAATCAAGTCTCTGTCTGGGATTCTTTACAAGAAAGCTCCCCTGTACAACAATACAGAGTAAATTTGATTTACATATAAATATATAAAACCATCCTACTGACTAGTTTAAGAAAAGGGTAAAGATTCAGTGAATTGCGCAAGCTGGTCACCAAACGACCCGCACTCATTGATTGTATGTGGTGGTCAAGAGAAAAAATTAGTCATTATTGATACCCGAGTCTCTGAAAATGATGGTGTTGTCTGGTCTGTTGAAGAAGCGCACGATAGACCTATCCGAGATGCCAAGATTAATCCTTTCATACCTTATTGGTTAGCTTCCGCAGGTGAAGACTCCATCGTGAATATTTGGGATTTGAGATCTTCCTACCATGGGCCCGTTGCTAGAATCGATGGTATGATGGGTATCGTCACTTCGCTTACTTGGTCCAATCTTCGTCCTGAAAATATTGGTACCACATCTACAGGCGGTTTGATGAGATACTGGACATTATGTCCTGAATGCATCCCTATTTGGGACACCTTTTATCGCGTGGCCACTTTCGATAAACAAGATACATTACCCATCTCACACGAATACGAATCAGACAATATATGGCTCACGATAGATCAGCGTCGTAAACGTAAAGAGTCAAAACATTGGTTTTCAACTGTGGATGAAGATATACCAAAATCAACCATGCTATTGGCTGGAGCCATGGGGTTGGGTGAATGGGGTACACCAGAAAATGGTATCCAATATAAGGGTGAAGTCATTGTGGCTTCAAAAGGTGCGGCTGTATCAATTAAACCTTCAAAGCTGAGACCCAGTGTGTATTACAGTATCACAAGTGGAGGCCAAATGGCCGCGCATACCGTCTTATTTGATGCTGCTAGTGTCATGCGTAATCGTCATAGGTATGAGTTATCTATTAATAATATCTTTTTTGATTGATCGACTTATCATTTTATAATCAAAAAGATATGATTCAGAAACTAAAACCACTATTGCAGCACAAATCGAAGACGATATATATCGTCGACGTATAACAGAGGCACAACTTAAATTGGAAATATTAAAAACCACACCGCAACTAAACCAACAAGCTGAAAGGTAAAAAACAAAAAACAAATATCTATCTGACATTTTCTTACAGAAAAAAAAACATAAGGATTTATTGAACAAGTTTTATTTTTTAGACACCGTGATGAAGAGGTTGCATTTGTCACAGACTGCTTAAAGGTGCGAAAGACAATCAATGGTACAGATTGGGACTTTAATTCATTGCCAGATAGATCCAGTAGAAGAGCATCTCGTCGACTTTGGAATCGTGAGGATATGTGGGACATGTCTATTCATACATTTAAAGCAGATCTCAAATACTGGAGCTATCGTATTCCACCTGGATATAATAACAAGTATAAATTTCCCGTAAGTATTATAAAACAAAAAATACTATCTTACTTGTATATGCTAACCTCTATTTTCATAGCTGGACATGGAGCCTATTATTTCTCCTTATTTGCTCGTTGAAGAATTAGATACAAGAATCCCTTTGCCGCTTCCAGACGATAGGCGATCCATTTACTCGGCACAAAAACCATCAGATGCACCTCATAAACCAAAGCCAGAAGGAATAGTGCGTGATGAGAAACTGACAAATGCATTTCCTACAGCTTTTCTTGTAGATAATAGTACCTCGTCAGATGTTGGGGCTGGTATCATACCACCCATCAAGGATAGAAGAAATATGGGTCATGTATCACAGATTATCACCAGTAGACATGAAGGTATTGAAGGTAGTCCGTTTACACCACCTTTTAGTCCTACCACGGGCAATGGCATGATCTCACCGCCTATTTTAACACCTACGCCTTATTCACCTACTATGATGGGACCCATATCACCTATATTGTCACCTACACCACCCAGCTTGGCTCGCACATCGCCAATTTTAGGCACCTCACCACCCGGCTTGAATCGCACATCGCCAATTTTAGGTACCTCGCCACCTCTCATAAGACGCTCTAGAACATCACCTTCCATATCCAACTCACCACCTTTATTAACCCAAGTACGTACAGTGCCAGCAATGGGATCCTCACCACATGGACGCACTCCACCTGGTTTAGCTCATACACCTATTTGGAACAATACAAATCCATTTGAAACCAGCGCTAATCCATTTGCTATCCATGCAGTTGGCACTGAAGCACCGGAAGTTGCCCATGTACGACGCGATCCAATATCCACGAATCCATTTACAACACAAGTACCTGCTACTGAGTTGCCAGAGCTCGTCAATTTACGCCACGATCAACACTCCACTAACCCGTTTGAAAGCGATTCTGTAAGCGATGATCATGTCAGTGTTCATAGCGCCCATTTGGGAGGAATGGCAAGTCGAAGAAATAGCTTGTTACAGGCCGGTCGACGTTGGAGCTTGACTTTATCGCATAGTAGTAGTTCTGATAAGAAGAAATACAAGTTTAATCCTCTCAAGATGATATCGCGACGAAGCAGCATGACAGAATCGTCAAAGGAAAGTAAGAGTAAGGAAAGGCCCACTTTATTCACAGCTGTTAAAAATGGTTTAAAGAGAGATTCTTCTGGCCGTCGAAACGCTCTTCATGGTCCGTTTTAAAATAAAATGGAAATGGGGCACATAAAATTGGATTTATAATTCTTTTATTAAAAATGGAGTTTTATTTATGCAAAATAGAAGAGGTTTAGACAGTTAATTTGGTTTTTTTACCGAGTTTCTTTCTTTGTGAAGGTTTTTGGTTGGGATTTGGACCTGCAGGCTCGTCGAATTTACGTTTTGTTGACTTGACTTTGTCCAATTTTAAAGCGCTGTAGGGAGCACGTCCATAGACACATCTCACCGCATCATAAACGTTTTCCACTGTCCATTTACTTAAACCCATACTAAGAAGCAGGTATTGATGCACTCTTGATCTCCATGTAACAGGTAATCCGTGAAAGAATAATTGGCCCAACAGCTTATCCTCTTTTTCATATCCGGCCATTTTTGCTGCTTGCATAAATCGATCGGTATAGGCGTCAATGACTTCACCTTTTTCAATGCTACAGTTCATCAAAGCTTCAGAAAACTCTAAACGCTTTGCAGCAGACATAAATTTGCGATATAACTTTCTTTTAGCGTCACACCACGATTCACATGTCAAGATATCAGATTCAACCCAGGGCTTCAGATCCTTGGAAAAGGATACGGGAATATACTCTCTCCACACTAATTCAATATCTTGATCCGCCAAGGCCTGTTCAAATGCTTCTATAAAACCCAGGATATCTTCGTACCATCTCTCTGTCTTGAACTGAGTGTTATATTGACCCACAAAAAAGCATTTAGGTATCTTGTAATTTGGTATTTTAGCTGGTTTCTTTAGGGATTCTGAGACGGCACTGATGGTAGCAATGGCAGCGTCAATATCTTCAATTTTCTTTTTAAATTGGAGAGCACTGTCTTCGCCAGAGTCACAGATTTCTGGTGAATTTGAGAAAAGCTGCATCATTTCTACAGCTAATACTCGCTTATCCCATAGCTTTTCTATGAGTTTCGTTGGTTGGAAGGTGGACATGTCTTCCTTGGCAAGATCTTGCGCCTGATCAAAGGTCATTGACGGGGAAGGTTGTTCAATGGAAGAGGGTTCTTCAAAGGAGGAAGGTTGTTCAATGGACGTAGTCTGCTGAATGGGAGAGAATGGTTGCTGAATGGGAGAGAATGGTTGTTGAATGGGAGAGAATGGTTGCTGAATGGGAGAGGGTGGTAGCTTGGAAGAGGGTGGTTGCTTGTAAGAGGGGTTTTGCTTAACAGTTGGTTGTTGACTGACAATAGGTTGTCGACTAGCAGAGGGTTTTTGACTGCTAGTAGTTTGTTGGTTAATGGGCTTTCTTACATGCGTTTGTGGGCTGGCGATATGGCGTTTTGCGACATTAGTATGGTCGCGTTTTGGTTTGAACGGAACGTCAGGTTTCGTTACAAGGACAGGTGCTTTGGGGTTTTTCATAAGAGTAACGTTCAGTTTATTGAATCTTGGAAAAGGTGGGAATTTACTTTCGGAACTCCAGAAAGGGATCACAGGTTTAAAGTGTTTGGACATGGGAAATAAAAAGAGAAAAACGAAAAAGAAAGCAACGAGCAAATAAGGAAATTTGCTGGGGGTTTTTTATGCTGTTTTCCGGGTAAACCTCTTATCCAATTTTGACAGACTTCGAGAAAAGAGAGCCAATGGATTTTGGCAAGCGTAACTTGAATTGGGAATAGAAAATTCCTCTCAGATTGGTACTATCTAGAGGTAAACCTGCGTATTGCTTTACATACGACGTATGTGTACAATCTACTACAAGACAAAAGTATTATTTTGCAACTCTCCAATTAAGAATATATATGTAAAGGACCTAAATAATCTTTCAGTTGTTTTTGTAGTAAGATTTAACTGGATATAGCTTTGATACATATTGTAGCTCTACAGCCTGTTTGTTTATAGCCAAGAAATTTGTTTTTTGGCCTTTTTTCTTTCTTTTTTCTTCGTTCCAAGGGTCCTATTGGGGTGATTTCCGATGGTGTATATGAAGCCACACGACACATCTTGGACTCCAGGTTGGTCGATTCGTTCGAGTACTTCGTTACTAAGTGCCATTTGGGGTGGTTACCGAAGATGCCAGGTATCTAGGCTTTTGCTGGAGTACTGAATGTTGACGGTTTGTCCTGGGTAACATCACCTTTCCCACTTGGTATATGTGGCAGCCCTTTGTGGTTCTTTAACAAGCTACTAGAGCGTTTTCAACAACACTTTTACCTCGAGGAGGATATTTCATGAATCCCTAGCTTAAGAGCGGGAGTTTTTAGGTGATTCAAAGCAACATTCTACTTGCCGGTCGTGCTTCATGAGTTGAAAAAAATGGGTCCCTCGTCTGATTAGTTGGTAATCGGCTTGTATATGGCGTAATCTCAGTAGTGAGTGCACGTTGCAACGCTGAGAACATGGTGGTTCGACCTCGTGGTAGTGATTTACTAGAGCCCCGTTTATAGCCATCAAAAAACAAAAAATGGATGGTGGGTGCACACGGAGACTGACTTCCTCGCAGTTGCACTTGGGCAGTTTTCTTTACTGAAACTGGCTAGCGATTCTCCACTTTTTTATGATAATAAAAACCACGTTTTTTTTTTCTTTAACATTTTACGTCTTCTTTTTTTTTTTAATCTTTTATGTTTACCTTATTCCCTGTATATTGATCATACCCACCTATGATGTTGCGTATCTTTATGTATAAACAATTTTTGACACCATGTATTAGCTGGAGTCTGCTGACAATCACACAATATAATCTGTGCAGTTGAAAAGTTATAATCCTCAATAGTGTCTCATATAAGCGCTTCAAGTAGCCCATATACCAACAGATCGCTTGGTGTTACACAGGATAGGATCATGCCTATAAATAATAAAACTTATCATGTAATCGTTTACCAAGTAGTATTCCCTCTTTCTGTTTCTGTCTGTCATCTTTTGTGTTTATTGTTCACAACATCTTTCAGAAGAAAAAAATTAGGTCCTTTTATTAGAAATTAATTGAAGAGTATTAAAACGTAGAAGCTTCAACGTCTTCTTCTGAAGGTATTATCGGTGTCCTACTTAAAGAATTTATGGGCTTTTCTATTTCCAAAAACGCAGCCTAATCATCACATGAGGAACAGTATTGTTTGTGGCGATTAAAAAGCCTACATTTGAACCCGATAACGATGTGGATGTTATTGGCGCTCAGCTACTGCTGGATGATACACTCATGGTATTCACTGAGACCCAAGTTATTTTTATTAAATTGATAGAATAAAATATTTCTTGTTTAAATCATATGGATAATAAGCGTTTTTTTTTTATTATCATTGATTTTTAATGATTAAAATAATGGTATTGAGAAGAAAAAAAGCTAAAAGTTCTTTAGGATTACTATATTCGGAATAAATATTTCCTTCTCCCCTGTTCCTGAATCAGGTCACTCATCAGCATGAGAGGAAGTATGCATGCCGCTGTTTTTTAAGATGGGAGAAGCTATTGCGCATAAGATTTGACTTCACTTACTGTGGCGGTTCAATATTGCCACAAATTCATCTTCAAAGTAGATTTCTAAATGAAGTAAGGCAGTAACAGATTAACTTTGCATATCCATCCATTCATGGGGATACAATTCGTGGACGAAATCGTCTCATTGGCTCTAAGCGGCAGCTATAATTGATCCCTCAAACCAGTTTTTTTTCTCAATCTTTAATACATATGCAACAGTGAAAGAATGTACAATTCAGGAAAAAAACCTGTAAAAAACTTAACTTCAAATTAAGCGGAGATACACGCAATCAACGTAGTAAAAACATCCATTATTATTAATAATATGATCCCCTTTTAAAATAAGCTTAGATATTCGAGTATACAGACGAGTATACAAAAAAGCAGTGTATATTCGCGATAAAAAAAATACCTGAAATCATATAGAGCGATTTGTGTAATATAAGGTTTATTTCTGACAGGCTTAAATTTAATTTAGCCTAATCAAGTAGTAGATCTTTTTTCGCAGTAAAAAGTAGTAGTGGATGTTTCTAGAACGATCATGCACATGAACGGTCTCCAACTATTTATTACAAAATATACAGTAAAAACAATGAGGTCTTCAGAACACATCCTTTAACGCGTTTTTTATCAGAGCTTTGGTCTGAAAAAAGGCGCATTAACAGACAATATAAACAGATGGAGGTAGCATTATTGGTCACTAAATAGATTGGTAGGGGAGAATTAAAAGATATCACTATGACGTTAATGCTTATACCAAAAGTATATCTTATCAAAGTCACATCTTGAGATTGGCGTAAAAAAATAGATGTAGATCATCAAAAGTAAACAAATTCATCAAGGAAAGATCTTGTTCACAAGTGTCCAAATGAATGCTACTGATGAATTTTCTATTGATCCATATGAATGAGATACATTCAAGTTTTGTAAAGGATGAATACATTTTATGACCTGCAGTATGCATCCAGACAATGCTTGATTTAAGCAATATGCATTATTTTCCCATACAAAAAAAAAAAAAAAAAAAAAAAAAAAAATTATGACATAGAACTTTTTTTTACTTGTGATTTATAAACGCCCTTCCCCTTTTTTTTTCTTCTTTTTCTTCACGCAGATTTATTGTGGATAAAATCAAGTATGTCAACTCATACTAAAAACTTAAAAGGTAAAAGGTAAGTCTTTTTTTTTTTTTTTTTTTTTTTTTTTACGTTCCCATGCAAAAACCAGGCGCGGTTGATTAAATCTTCATTTCATATAATAGACTTTGGTCGTAACGACATGGAACATCCACCAAATAACCAAATGGAGCTTCCATTACTTAATCAACCGGGACATACACCTCTTAAGCTCCCATCATTTGCTCAATTGGTTTAATCCACCTTCATGCCTGAACGAGTAGGATTTCCACCGCTTGGTCTTTTTCCTCGTCTACCCCTCATCAATCCTAAACCTGGGCTATTCACTCATCTTCAGCCTGATTTGGTTTATCACTCTAACCCCGCTTTGGTTCCTACCTTTGGATTCCCATCCAATTCTCAATCTAGATTCAATGCATTCTCTCACTGTTGTAAAAGTAGTAAAGGGAAAGGGCAAGTACTGTTACGACTAAGTCGTCTCTTATTTTATTTAAAAAGAAGATAGAGATAATTCTACAAAACTATCAAGGGATATTTATATACGATTTGAAAGGTATTCAAGAAGAGGGTATTGACAGTGTCCAGCACCGGTGATTCCATAACAAGCAAAACCTTGACAACCATCACTTAATTGACGGTTCTACTAAATATGGGAAAAGAAGGCAGAAGGAAGAAGGAAAGACCAAAGCCACGTAAACAGGTCTATGGTTTACCAGACTTAGTTTACCGAGGTCAAGAAATAAATAAGTATAAAGAAGTAAATAAACAATTATACAAACAATAGCACTCATTTCCATATACGTATGGCTCAGGTCCTATGAGACTCTTCGCTCGATACAAGTTACACATCATTGTTTTATTGATAGAGGTGAATTGTGGAACAACTAATTCCCATCAGTGTGATTATATGGGATTATGTCCTTATTGGATCATCTCCGATAGTTCTACTCTAGGTGTGTTATTATGTTATCCTCAACACTCACAATGAACTACCTGTTCAAAAGGTATTAGAACCTGTAGCATGTACTGAACCTTATCGAATTCATCGACCTCAAGCTCTTCGCCCGGTTAATCTCAAACCAGCTCTTCGGGGCTCTCCACAACCGGTATTACACAGTGGTTATGAGCCACCTATTGAGCCAGATCCCGCCGCTCATTTTGAGCCAAATCCCACCACTCATTCTGAGCATAATCTAGCTGGCGTATCTACCGAGGTACCTATTAGAGTACCCGTGCGAGAGAAGAACCACAGGGGTAGAAAACCCAAGGCAAAATCCAATCCTGAAGGCGTGGTGTAAAGGCATCAAAATCAGTATTAACAAAGAAGGTGTAGTAAAAATAGACTTTAAGAGAGAATAGTTTTACAGAAAAAAGTAGGTAAAAAAACAAAGAGAATACAATTATAAGTCTTGTCGATTTATTTGTATAAAAATTGATTAAGAGCTAACTAGACGGGCAGGTTTGCCCTGATATTTATAGAAGATTGATGATATTGTGGCTTGCATTTTTGACAGCTCAGATCCATCGTAGTTTTATATAAGGGACCATTCATTTGGTTTATTGAAGATCGTAAGATAGCTGTCCTTGATTTATTATTGTTCCTTAAATTCTGTTACAATGAAGAAATTTCCATGAAGCCGGATTACTTATTCCCGATCTTTTATCCGCGAAACATCTTTCCTTTTGCAGACAGTAGCATTTATTATGTGGTTTTCGCACAGTAAGTATAATTTATATCCAAAGAAAAAGTTCGAATCGTAACAAACCTTTTTTTAATTGTAGCAATTGATCCCAGAATGTTTGGCTGCTTTTACCGAAAAGGATAAGCAAGAGCTTGCCTTGCTTCTTCCTGAGCCTGACCAAGTTATCAAGAACAAGAAGGTTATGATTAGGTCAGGCTTTGGACAAGTGGCCACTAATCATTGCTACGAAGCTGCAGAAAAGTGGCAGGACATTTCATTCTTGGGTGGCTTCGATCCAGAAAACAAGCCTGCAACTGTAAATGTTGAGGACGACAGCTTTAAAGACGACAATTATGAACAGAATTGGGGCGTGTCAAAGAATTCAATGAGGAAAAGCGAAAGCGAGAGGAGATCGATGTTGGCCGCCCGAACGTAAAGAAAGCTAAAGGAAAGGACAAGGCCTCAGATACTCGTCGTGGTAGCCCACCCAAGTAAACCCACACACACACACACACACACAATCAATTGAAGACCGTGTTTTTGGGCCGAGTTAGAAACAAGAGACTCGACAAGCTCGTTTTTGTTTTGGTCAATGATGTCGAGCATTACCTCCTTCAAGAATTTGAAAGGGTTATTCAGGGTAACGGTGCGATGTCACCCTTCTTTAAGCAGCAAAGAATCAGACACACACACACACACCACTCACGTTAACTGTTTTGGGTTATTGATATAAATAAAAAAATTATTATTGCTTCAAAGGTATTGCTTTATGGTTGGACGGGGTAATATGTATCTCTTTCTTAGTTTTTGTTATGTAAGTGTTCAATGAGATAAATAGTATTGTGTTAAAAAATTGGAAGTGTTCTAGCAATATTTTGTCCATAACCAAATTATTTATCAGAGTATAAACAGACCCTTGTTATCACTTTGTGTATCGGAGTATACGACTGTCAGCCGCGATAGGCGGGATAGACGTCGAAACAAAGAGATTATACATTCATATAATGTGACATGAAGATGGTAGAAATAAGAACTTTACCAAACTATATATTTGTTCCTAAACAAAAAGGCGCTCGCGAAAAGTTAGTCGAATATACGCAATGTAATAAACATTATTTATACAAGGATATTACCAAGGTATCAATGTGCATCAAAAAAGAAGAAAAAGTGAATATCTAATCAGAGAATATACGAATCCATAACTAACAAGCCTATAAAAAGACTTGAGAATTAAGCAAGGTACAAACTAACTGAGGAGCTATTAAATGATTCTTGGACCTATCTTGACAATTGGCAATACAGCAAAAGTCAAAGTAGGCTTCATATCGGGGCCAATCAAATGTTACTCAAGAGGAAGCATAATGTAAATTAAGAATCGTACTTTGGAAGAAGAAAAAAGAGCAGACCAAAACACTCAATTAAATTACATCAGCCACCACACAGCTCTCAAAATAAAACAATCTTGACACCAATACATTTTTTACCCTTTCATTCCATATGTAAAAATGAAACCAACTACCACTGAATAAATCAAAAAAAAACTATACTATATCTGATAGCCAAGCAAGATATTTGAAGTTGGGAATTGCTTTAGTTGCCTAGATATCGAAAAACGTAAATACCCATATTGATCATACAAGAGTTTGATGATCTCTTGCTTTATCATTAGAAATTGAATTTAGATCACGGTCACCACGATTTCAATGGATGCGGTTGATACGCTGAAGTTGATCTTCCGGGAGGTAATTGTCTCTTTCATTACTCAAGCCAAAGTATCCATCCCTTTTTTTTTTTTGACTGGCCCCTGTTAACACATCCATGCATCCATGCATGAAAAAAAATAAAATAATTTTTTTTTGAACTGAGCTGGATGGACCGAATGCTTTACGATCATTAAATGATAGCAATAAGAAGATTTTTTTAAATATACATGGTAAATATATAAAAAACACACTGTTTTTGGGGTCGTTACTTCTAGGAAAACGATCACTGAATCCTTATAAAGAATGTTACACATCACCCTTTTATTCTTGCAAATAGCACCACTGTAGTAGTAGATAATCCCCTATTTACTCTTTATAATCACCTGCGACTTTATATTAAAAAATCTCTACTATTGTACAATGTGATTTTGACCAGAAATTGACAGCCTTTGATTATAAGTTGTTAATGGGAGATTATTTACTTTTTTTTTTTTTTTTTTTTTTTATTTTTTTAAAAAAAACAAAATACAGACAACGTCCATAAGCCTTCGATCCATTTCTGGTGAAATAGAGCTGGAGTCTGCGATGATGACCCTTCCAAACTGATAGCAAGTCTCAGTCAATTGCCTCGCAATGACTATAATAAATCCATCTTTCGTTGGTCAAGGTCTGTGTTGGATTTATGATCACCACAGTTGTCCACGCCCATGATAATGTAAGTGACATGATTCTCTCATACTCTTGACCAATTGGGTGAAATTTTTTGGGTACCTTCGGCATCCTGTTTTTAAGCCACTTATCCATTAACTCGTCAACACACATATAGCGTCCAGGGCGCATTGTTTCAGCCAGTCGGTTGTTGAAAGCCTTCAGATAGGATCGAAGTTGGTATTTAGAGGATCTGTATTTGCTCTATAGCAGAAAATTTAGTCGTTTGTTATATATAATCAATGTATGCCACATATTTACCAACAGAATATTTTGCTTTTTGACGAATTACCGTTCCTCATTACGGACAACCCACACATGAAATCTGGATACATCATTAGAACCAGTCCTTTCCATCAAGTCAATAAAATCAACGTGAAATGACTACTACTCCTTCTCCAGCACGTTCTCTTGTCCTGGAAGTTGACGACCGTCATAATAATCAAACACATAATCCAAGTACCATACTCAGGCCAATCCAAGTCAATCCAAGAGGAATTTAACTGTCTTGCACAGTGATTGATAGCAGGGAATTACTACACTTTGAAGGTGATTGTAAGGCAAAAAATAATCAAAGATCTCAATGGAGTTTTCTCACCAAGAGAAGGGTTTATGTACTGATAGCTTGTGCCAAGGTGAGTAAAGGCGCTGGTCAATACTGATGCTTCATTCTTCTCAGTTAAGATCCATCGTTTCCTCATTGCTTTCATTCTCGTTTTCAATTTATGAAGCTGATTGAATGCCGTCGTCCGAAAGGTCAGGGGATTCGTCTGTGTTGCTTTTGTTGTAGTTGTTATTGTCGTTGCTGTTGGTTCTGACATCTTTTTTGAGGAGGAGTATACCTATGACAGAGACAAGTTAACCGAAGAGCAATGAACGTTGAGAGCATCAAAGGTCACTTTGCAGTCATCAATGCCATCTTTGTACATTCTCGTGGTATTACCCTCAAAGTGTATTCCTATGGGGCGCTGGTAAACGACAAGAAGATTAGCTGAGGCAAGGCTGCTTTACGTTAATAGTTCAATTTAGCAAATACAAGACTGCCTACAACGATGTTAGGATGAACGCGAGGTATTTGTATGGAGCTTAAAAAAAAGGCAATTGGGTAAGATGAATAGCAATTGTGATGAACAAGAAATGTAAAAGTAAAAAAAAAAAAAAAAAAAAAAAATTCAAATCGTGAAATTCTTTGGGCGTGTTTCAAAATAAAAAATCGTAACTGAGTGCATAAAAGGGCCCACAGGACAGGTTACACACCACGTCAAAAAGAGACTCAATCACCTTAAATTTAGCAAGCAGATGGACCAGATCATATCATGTCATTGTGTATCTCTGGCTCTTTCTTCTCTGACTTGACACAAGTTAAACCAAAGTCACAGATTAAACGTGTATTTAATCAGTACCATATAAAAAAATTGAAGGCGCAATTCTGTGTCTTATGGATGTCAAGTCCTTGAATGTTTATTTAAACCTGAGCATATAATTTGTAAGTCCCGCTCTTCTGGGAGTAAAAATTCATAAAACTATGTTTTGCTTTCTGCAACGTAGCTGCTTATTGTAACTTTATAATCGACCAACATTATTAACAGAAGTGGTAGAAGCAGAACAAAAATTCCTCCCATAAAGACCCTTTAGAAAATAAAGTCTCAATTAGTGCAAGAAATGTAACAATGGTTGACATTATACATAATGTTGCTGAGTTGTACAAGTGTCGGAGGTGGTCTTTTTTATTCTTTTAGTGTTTCCTAAATGTCAATGTCGACATAAGGCCTTTAATGTTCTCTCTCACTTTTGTTTACCCTTTCTTCCCTTTATTTACTGCGCATGTTTGCTTTATTTGTCCGTGACTTTTGAAATTTTTGAAGGCACTGCGCAGCAAAACCGGTCACAAAACAAAAAAATCGATTTTGTGTGATGGAAAAAAAGGTATATAAAGGGCACAATTTCTGCCAACTCTCAATTTTTTTTCTTTATCCAGCTTCTGTCTAGCCAGCAAAAGTGCCGTAGTTTTGTCTTGCCAGCAAATCTGCGGTGGGGTCTTTTGGGTGGCGGCGGTTCTAATCTCTTTCCTGCCTCCGGGCGTGTTTGAAACAAGCGAGAGGGTTTTTCATTGGTTGATCATTGGCCAGCAACAGATACGATCAGCAACAGGTACGCACGAGACGATACGAACGAGACGAGTAGATTACCAATGATCAATTAGTGGCGGATTCTCTCCAGAGTTTTAGCACTGGAAGGGTAGACTCATTAGACCAATGCCCCCTTTAATTTTATATTTTAAACTTTTTTTTTCTTTTTTTTTTTTTTTTTTTTTGCATAAATAAAACTGAATTTAAAAAATTAAATATTTCTTGAGAGGGTTTTTTTTTTTTGTATGCGGGATATTAAAGTGATTCTTAAGCATTATGACTGGTATAAAACGTCGCAACGTCTATAATAAAGTCGACAAAGTGACATTCATTCCTTTTACTTGAAAGAATCCTAGGAAGACAAAACAGTCTAATTGACTACCCAGTTCAAACCTCCAAAGTATTTAATAAACCCATTTCAAACTGTCGACCAACTTTTTAGAAAAAGCTCCATCAATTGAACAACACACTCACGTAACAACAACAAGAGTGCGGTGTCAGGTAAAAAAAAAACCTGGTCTCGAACACTACATTACTCCTCCAGAAACAACTCTTACACAACAGCCAAAAGGACATGCGTCTCATTATGCAAAAGAATGCGTCCATTGAACAGAAGATTTCGACGGGTTGTTACACCTTCTCAGAAAGTAAGGAAGAACGTTATCAGATTTACAATGAGATGACTATGTCTAGTTTGTGGTCCGAGGGTTACTGTCCTTTACTACAGTCGTTGGGAATATCGATTAGGATGTAAGGAGGGCTTATTTTATTTATCAAGAAACAACCATAAACGACAGAGAATAACTACACCTACCAAGAGGACAATGGCTCCTGTCATGTATAAGGATGAACCCAGTGCTGAAAAAAACACACACCCCATTTAACAAAAAGAGTCGACGTGATCAAGTTATTCAAGGTATATACTCCATTCCCTTTCACCTGTGTTAAAATAGAGCTTACCAATTCACTTTTAGCGTAGAGACACACCCTTTTTTATTGTGTTAATTTGGAAAACTGGGGAATCAAGGGATGAGTGTATGCATCAAAAGAATGTTGACAAGTGAACTCAAGTAGTGTTACAAGCCATGACGGATTAAACTCACTTTGCGGGCTAAGACATGGTCATATATCAACTACCATTCAATTAAAGAATATACTGGACCTAGCGAGTCTGCCTGTGTAGGGTTAAGCTAATTTTTTTTGACATAACTCGGGATGACAGAGTAGTGTATCTTTTATAACAAACATATGCGATAACTGAGTGTCATTGTGCGATTTACTCCAAGCTTTGAACTGGTCTTTTATATACCCTCAGCTCAACATCTTTTGGATAAACCAAATCGAAGAATACAACTGTGTGACTGAAATTATAGACTAAAGCAACATCGTAAATAGCGCAATACGTTTTCATCGTTAGTTTACTCTAACACTAGCTCTAGGTAGCAAAAAAAAAAAAAAAAAAAAAAAAAAAAAAAAAAAAAAAACTGAGAAGAAGAAAATACAAATGCCTGCTCGAGCGCACAAGGTACTAATGAACAGGATGAAAGAGTGATTGGAGGTCTAGTTTATATAAAGAACGTGTTTACAATAGGAGGATTATATGATATGTATGAGTGAATTGTGATATTTAATAAAAAAAGGTGTGGGAAGGGAGAAAAGTTCTGAAGCTTCAACTACGAAATTATATGTCAATATTAGTCAATATTAGAAAGATCATTGTCTGAATCGTTCACATGCTTTTCCAATAAAGCTCTTTGGAAAGGTGAAGAAGAAGAAAAAGGGGCTAGTAACTACCTTCAACATACTTACGTGATTCACCCCATATAAGACTATCATCCCAAAACAGAAATGGATAAGAGCACTAGTTAAATAGTGTTTGTTAAACGAAGTTCACAATGATGGATTATTTATGAGGTACTGTTAAATCCAAAACCACATATTTCTAAAAATAAATGTTGAAACTTTTGACTATTTTTTAGTACGATCTGTCATATGAACTATGCTGACAATTATAGATATGTACTGTCAAATTTAACCGTCTTCCTGTCAGATAATGTGTTATGCCATGTGATATCAGTTGTTGTTAGGCTATTATTACTGTAGATCATGCTACTGCTTAAATAATTAAGGTTGGTAAATACACACACATGATAACCAGCAAGTGTTAAAGTCTTCTCTCTTTTTTTTTTGGCATAATTCGGTGAAACGATTGTTAACCATAATCAGTAATATAGGGACTGAATGAGAGATTTAGGAATGGATGACAATATGCTCATAGGTAATAAAGGATTTGATAATCTTTTTGAATACGGATGACAACCATCAGCCATAAATCATTGGATACATGATGTACGTAACTTGGTTTATCAGAAAGTAAATATTTTTTCTGCTCTAACAATAGATCATAGAGTCTATTTTTCAGTTGATCTGGCTTAAATGGATTGTACCTTTTTATTTAGAAACGTTGGGACAGGTGTGTGTGGGGGGAGGGGTGGGTGCAAAAGACACTAAAGGGTAAAAGCCAAATGTTTTGAAACCCAGCGTAATTTTCTCCCGACTGAGTGTGAGAGGGTACGGGGGGAAACATTACCTGACGAAACTTCCGTCAAAACTCAGATTCCTCCTCTTCCTTTACAAACTACTACCCACTATGGTCAAGTTCATCAAGGCTGGTAAAGTACGTAAATCGAAACCAACTTTTAAACAACAACATGTGGATGGATGAATTATGGATGGATTGGATATCAATTTTTTTTTCTGTATTTTTTTTTTTTTTTTTTACTCAACAATTGGCGATTCCATCTCTCTATTGAATTCATCCATCACACGAAGAAACCCCCCAATTTTCCCCTCAATGCTGATTCATGTTTGTTTTAAATAGGTTGTTGTCATTTTGCAAGGCCGTTACGCCGGTAAGAAGGCTGTTGTCGTCCGTAGTAAGTAAACCACTCTTTTAAATGGGAAAGACGAGCACCTTGACTTAAACTTTCTCTCTCTATTACAGACCACGATGAAGGTACCAAAGACAGACCCTACGGTTATGCCGTTGTTGCTGGTGTCGAACGTTCTCCCCTCAAGGTCACCAAGGCCATGGGTAAGAAGAAGACTGCCAAGCGTTCCAAGGTCAAGCCTTTCGTCAAGATTGTTAACTACAACCACATGATGCCCACTCGGTAAATAGTCACTATTTGTTTGTGTTTTTGACACATCGTCCTAATATTTTTCCATCATAGTTACGGTTTAGAGTTGGAGCAAATCAAGGGTACTGTCTCTGCCGAAACTTTCAAGGAACCCACTCAACGTGAAGATTCCAAGAAGGTAATTATCAAAAGTTATTCTTATGGTGTATAAAACATGTGTACTGATTTCATTCTTTTTTATTATTATTAGGTCATCAAGAAGCTCTTCGAAGAACGTTACCAAACTGGTAAGAACAAGTGGTTCTTCAGCAAGCTCAGATTCTAAGCTATTCGCTTTTTGATACTCTCTTGTACCTCTTTTTTAAAAAAAATAAATAATAAACATTGTAAATTCGTTTGCATATTTTAAAAATAAAATCCTACATGTTTTATCAGTAAAAAGCTTAAAAAAAAAAAACGAGTATGTGAAGTTATCAAGCTCTTTGGTGTTGATCCATGTCCGGACCGGACAATTTCCATTGTTTAAAGCACAAATGGACGCACATTAGCCTAATTCCGACAAAGCAGTAAGTTTATATGTGTCCAAAAGATCAGCAAACCATTGAACTCTCTCTTTCCCTGCCAACTTTGTACGTAACCCAACATAAATCCATCCATGAGAAAAGCAGATTAAATTAATCATCCATCAATCAACCCTCTTTTTTTTTTGTTTAAACAAAAATCAGTTTAGCAGTTTTATCACGATGTCCCGTGTTCCTTCCGGTAAGAAACCTATATTGGATATCGACCATTTCGTTATTTACTAATTCGGCATGCAACAGCTCTTAACCCCACCGAGGAGGATATCCAACTCCTTTTGAGTGCTCAATGTCACATTGGTACCAAGAACGCCAACACCCGTATGGCCCCTTATATCCACAAGCGTCGTGCTGATGGTAAGCAATTAGGTTGATTTTACAGACATGGACACAAGTGGAATAACAAAGTGTAATAGGTATCAACTTGATCAACATTGGTAAGACCTGGGAAAAGCTCATCCTTGCTGCCCGTGTCATTGCTGCCATTGAGAACGTAAGTAAAGAGAGTGAGAGAGAATAAATAAAAGAGAGATAGGTTTTAACAACGCCTGTGATTAGCCCCAAGACATCGTTGTTGTCTCTGCTCGTCCTTATGGTCATCGTGCTGCCCTTAAGTTCGCCAAGTACATTGGTGCTGAAGCCATTGTCGGTCGTTTCACTCCCGGTACCTTCACCAATTACATCACCCGTTCTTTCCGTGAACCCCGTTTGGTTATCTGTACCGATCCTCGTTCCGATTTCCAAGCTGTCATCGAAGCTTCTTATGTCAACATCCCTGTCATCTCTCTTGCTGATACCGATGCTTCTCTCAAGTACATTGATGTTGCTATCCCCACTAACAACAAGGCCAAGCACGCTATTGGTTTGATCTACTGGCTTTTGGCCCGTGCCGTCCTCCGTCTCCGTGGTTCTTTGGACTATGAGACCGCTTGGGACGTCATGGTTGATATGTTCTTCTACCGTGATCCTGAGGATATCGAGAAGGAGAATGCTGAAGATGCTGAAGAGGGTGACTTTGCTGCCACCGCTGAGGCTGCCACTGGTGAGTGGGCTGTTGAAGGTGAGGCCTCTGAAGGTGTTGCCGGTATTGCCGCTGCTGCTGACTGGTCTGCTTCTCGCACCACCGATTGGGCTGATGAGACCGAAGCTCCCGCTACCTCTTCTTGGGAAGCTTAAATTATATAGTATTTCTCTAACCCTAGACACTATATAATAGACTTCTAATTTAATAAAAAAATAAAAAGTATTTATTAATATTACAACCTTAAATGATGTTACGATGTCACGGGTTGCTAACCTTAATGCATGACGCGCTATTTTTAGAAATAATCGTTACCTTTATTTAAGTTTGACAGACAGTAGACTGCATTGCATAAAAACTTTGGCATTGTTCTTGAGACTACAAAATAAAAAGAAGGCAATTCTGTTTAGATTTGTAGTTACAAAGATACACTTTATATATACGGGACCTCTGCTAGTGTTTTCTATTTCCTCTCAACTCGTCTATGATGTTTAATAAACATAACAAGACTAAAATGTCGACTGTGGTTACGTATAATGATACATTAGTAAATTTGATGTTGCTTTCAAACAGGTATGGCTTGTTCCCATTTGAGGAAACATCAGCTCCTACAAAATCTATCCGATCAGTGAGTTAACTAATCCGTAACATTGGTATATGTCTTTCTTAACATCAAAGCAGTAAATGATCAGTCAAGGAATTATAATAGAAAAAAGAAATTGAAACTGATACATTAATCAGATAACTGCCATCCTATTTTTTTTTTTTTTTTTTTTTTTTTAGATCATACTACCCCTTTTTTGGATTTACATTTGATGAAAAATTGTTCTTTTGAAAGCTTAATGCAATTAAATATTTTCCTAAAATGATCCATTTTAATTTAAATTAAAGTTATTTGCCGTTATATTGCGATTTCTATTGGACTAAGACAGTTTCCATGGAGCATATTATGTTTAAATGATGTAGGAGCCATTTCTTTTTTTGTTTTGTTTTTGTGGATGAGCTTAATCTCTTTAGACTCTTTTAAATGTACAAATGTTTTATTATGCTTAGCTTATGATTGGGCTAAAAAAGACTTATTTCATGGAAACCAACTTGATATCGAAGACGAGGGTGGCGTTCTTGGGGATATCTGGGGGAGCACCACGCTTACCGTATGCCAAAGGAGCAGGGATGGTCAACTTACGTTCACCACCAGCCTTCATACCAGCAACACCAATATCCCAACCCTTGATAACTTCACCGCGACCCAAGAGGAAAGAGAAAGGCTTACCAGAGACGTTCTTATCGAAAACCTTACCGGAGGTAAGCTTACCAATATAACGCATACCGACTCTTTGGCCAGACTTACAAGAGGCACCTTCACCGACCTTGACATCTTCGATGATGAGACCGTTAGGAAGCTTAGTGATCTTCTTCTTTTCCTCGACCTTCTTGGCTTCCTTCTTCTTGGGCTCTTCCTTCTTGGGTTCTTCAACCTTCTTGGCTTCCTCCTTCTTGGCTTCAACCTTCTTGGCTTCCTTCTTCTTGGGTTCTTCCTTCTTGGGTTCTTCAACCTTCTTAGCTTCAGCCTTCTTGGCTTCAACCTTCTTAGCTTCGGCCTTCTTGGCTTCGGCCTTTTGCTTCTTGGTAGGAGTCTCTTCCTTGACAGGTTCAGCGGCACGCTTCTTGTTGACAACGACGGGGACTTCTTCCTCCTCCTCCTCCTCCTCTTCTTCCTCAGATTCGATTTCCTCATCAGATTCAATCTCGCTACCGGACATATCTTGTTGAGCCAACAAAGCTCTGACTTCTTCAGGAGTGACACCTTCGGGGAGGTTCTTCATGAACTCTTCCTCATCGAAACTCTCATCGTCTTCAGACTCCATTTCGGATCCCATCTCCTCTTCATCGTCGCTGAAGACATAGTTACCGGTAAGGTGAACAATGTTATCACCCTTAACGGCAAAAGTGATCTCCTCACCTTCGACAAAGGTAATATCCAAAGCTTGTTGTTCAATCTATAATAATAATGGTAAGGACACATTCTCTGGTTTAATAATAATAAAAAAAAAACTAACCTTGTTGGCAATCAAAGTACACAAGACATACTCCTTCTTGTCAACAACGACGGTAACAGTGGTACGCTTTTCGTCAGTAACATCCTCACCGAGAGAAGCCTATAAAAACAAAAAGTGAAAGAAAAAAAGGTTAATGACACGTCGGGCAAACATGAAAAAAAAAACGATTAAAATTATGCAAAAAACCTACCATGGCGATACGGAAAGGAGCAGAGACAATTTGCGTGTAGGTCTTACCGGGGTGGACAATAAGTCCCATAAAACCTTGAACAGTATTCATTTTAAAAAGTATAAAGAAAGTTTTTACAAGATCAAGACTTGTTTGCGAAGAAAAAAAATTGCTTTAAAGTAGGTTCCAGCAAAAAAAAAAAAAAAAAAAAAAAATCAAAGCAGTCCTACATTATACAAGTCACAAACAAAATCTCTCTCAAATTTTAAGGGACTTTACGAAGGTCAAACTTTTGAAGTCGTCCTTAAAAGAAAGCTCCAATACTCCAGATTTAGGAGCATCCTTTTTGTTTAAAGGGATTATTAAGATACCAGAATTAAACTTAAGACCAAAGCTGCTCAATTGGATTTAAAGACGAAGAGTTGGACGTAATATCTATCAAAAATAAATGCTTCAACTTTCCTCTCCTCTTAGATCATACATAGGAGCGCTGTTTATGGTCAAACAGAAGCCCGGAAGTAAGAAATTCCCTACACGAAGTTTATAGCGTTGGAAATATAATTTAATTAATGATCAGTATACGTATCCTTGGCAGCCCATAGTACACTTTTTTCATCAATCAAACAAACTATATGCTTTTTCATTTTTTATATAAGACTACCTTCGTCTTGTTCAAACCTGTGGCATTTTCCTACAATAGATTCTGATGGATCTCCAGAATTTGCACGGATAACGGATCTGCAACAATGCATTAGAAATATAAATGTTTTTCTTCCAGCGTCACCCGGGTCATCTAAAAAACAAGCGTTCTCTCAAGTGAAATGACCTTTATAGCTATGGCACATAACTAATGTCAATTTTCATATTGTGGCATTTTCTTTATTTTCAAACAGTCCAAATATGAAGACGTCAAAAACCAAGCTCTTTCATGACAAACTGCGTTTCACAAAGGTCGTCCTAAAGAAAAAAGCAAATCAATACATGAAATGAGTAAATGGAGTTTCTTTTCATATAGATGAATACAAACATTGCTACTACAAGTTCGAGATACTCGACAAGCAATAAGCAACCACCCCAAGAGGATGAGAGTGCTTCTTTTTTGGATAAATTCCAAGTTCAGAGACCGTGGCTGGATTCTTCATCACTTGAACACCAAAAACCTTCAGTTTTTTAAAGGAAGAGATTGACGCTTGCTTGTGTGTCACCACTTCTTTTGTCAAAGAAAAGATACAACATTCTAAGAGCTTCAAGGAATCCTCGACAGAATGTGCCAAGTTTTCCTTGATGATTCCGCTGGCCTATCGATTCTTTGGAATCTTAACATTTGAGGTTAGAAGTGCCAGAAAAGCTATCACAGGAATAACTGGCTTATGGCAGCCAAGCATTTATAGCTGCGATGCTTTCTAATTTAAGTATAAGAAATGAGTACAGAGATATTTTTTTTTTACAAAGATACATAAAGGTACTGTTGCTACAAGCTCGAGATATTCAACAAGCAATAAAGGATCCCCAAGAGGATGGGAGGGTTGCGCTTCTTTTTTGGATGAATCTCCAGCTTTTTTCATCATACATGGACAGTTCAGAAAGTGTGGCCTGACTCTTAATGACTTGGATGCCAAAAAATCTTGGGCTTTTTAAACGTGGAGTTAGAGGCGTGATTGTTTGATACCGCTTCTTTTCTCAAAAAAGGAATGCAACATTCTAATATCTTCAATGAATCTTCGACAGTGTGCATCATGTTTTCTTTCATGATTCCACTAATTTAAAAAGGAGGAAAAATCAGCTAACAAAAATCGGATATGCATATCAGAAATCGTTACCTTGACGATTCAACTATGATCAACTCCATGTTTCCTAAAGTCTAAACAGCCTAGGACATCAGCGTTATTGGCATTGCTTGACTTGAAATCTCGGGCACTCATATCTATGAACTTGTTGGACTTGAAGTTCGTTTCGTACTAGTTCGAATAAATCTCGAACCGAGTTTTTGTACTCGAGTATGCGCCACTTTTTTTTTTTTTTTGGATTCGAGCGAGCATCGATCCAAGCTCGCGCCTACATGGACTCACTCTGCATGAATATTTATCTCGGCACAGCTAAGAATGCGAGAGGAACTCTTTGAGATGACTTTACTTTTCACCGTCTTATACTTTAGTAATTATTTTTGAAAGATTGTCTTTCTGCAAAAAACTTTTAACGCTTAATCTTACTCTTTACAGCTGTCCAGAATTGCTCAATTGGAATAAGCTTGAGGTATTACACACATTTAAATCCTCGATACTTGATATACTCCTTCATATTTTTGTGCGTGTAAATAAAAGGGGTTTATTCATAGTCGTATAATGTCCTTTCATATGTAGATGCTTATCCATTTTATCGAGAGTCATTTTTAAGATACTACAAGTGGGGCCTGTAACAGTACAGCAACTGAGTCGGGACCCTAAAATGAAAAAAAACAAAACGGAGCAAAAAACTCTGGCGCCATAAAAAACAGGCTTTTTTTACCCACCCCGAAGAGCATGGTGAAAGACACTAAACGAAATAGCGACGATGAACCACCTGTTGCTACTATTGAAGGTTGGGAAGATGGAACACCTTTTAAACGAGAAGTACATAAACTTGATCGGTGGGCACTTCAGTCCGCAGACACCATGACAGTGCATATTGGATCTCATGATGTAGTGTTGGTCCAAGATCCTCATTCGAACTATTTGGGTGGATACATTTGGTTGTCGTCCATTGTCTTTTGTTTGTACCTGGAAAGAATTAGTTCTAAGCGAGATCGTCACGGCTGGATCAGTCTAGACCGAAAGAAACGGTGGGTTGAATTAGGCTCGGGTGTTGGATTAATTGGTATCATCTTATATAAGCTGGGGATTGAGGATGTTGTGATTACTGATATTGAAGAGCTTGTGGAAACAATGGAACGTAATGTTGAAGCCAATGGTCTCAATGTTCGGTCTATTAATGGTAGAAGAAAGAATGATAAGGATAAGGATTATATTGTGGTTGATCCGTTGTTATGGGATAACAAACAAGAGATGGAAAGTATTAAGGCTGGTGGAGCGATTGATTATATTGTAGCATGTGATTGTATATATTCTGAGACCAGTGCGATGGATTTAGTAAACACGATGGACTATCTAAGTAATGACAACACCACTGTTATTTGTTTGAGTGAAGTTCGAAATGAAGCAGCCCAGGAAAAATTCATGTCTGAAGCGCAGGCACGCTTTCAAGTAGAATTAATACCAGCCATGGAATGGAAAAAGAAGGTCAATCATCAAGTAGAATTCGATGAGACACTGAACCTTTACAGGTTACGCAGACCAAAGCGTCGTTTAAAGTCAGCCAAAAATAAATGTAATTTAGCTGTGTAAAACAATGGGAAATATTTCCTTTTTATATCTTCCCTATTCCATTCCTTTTCTAAAACAAAAAAAAACCATTTTTTTTCTTCTTCTTCGTTTCTCTTCATAATAATAGTAATAATAATAAAGAAAGAGAGGTAGCTAGCTAGCAATATATTTATTTACAACGGAATTTTTTTTAAAAAAAAAAAATTAAATAAACTGATCCATTTGATAGAGGAACAAAGTGAAAAATTACTACTATTATAGAAGGGGGGAACAAAGAAAATTACTACTATTATTACTACTATTACTACCACTATCACTACTAGATTTATATGATGAAGTGGCTTCCTTTGCCTAAAATAGCACATGGAATAGCCATTTATCCCTTCTCTCCTTCAACCGCTATCAAGCCCTCGGGCCAATTAACACCAGTACCTAATGACGATGCTTCCATTCATACCAATGCTTCATCATCATCCATGGATCTACAACCACAGTCAACCAACGAAAAAGACTACAGTCATTTAATATCGCTCGAAGTGGGCGATGAGTTATTTGTATTTGAACAACAAGGGCAATGGTATCGAGGTTATGTCATTTGTCCATTAGAGGAAGGCAGGAAGCCCAACAAGGCTCCGATCGGTATCTTTCCAAGATCGCATGTGGCCATTAAAGAATACTTGGATATTGATCCTGATGAGGCAGACACGTTAGCTTTTCGTCGACATGGACTGGACCGGCCCTTGTCCGAGATTCCCAATGGTTTACCAAGATCGTTTTCGGAATCGTTTATTCAACCCACGAGTCCATTGGATTACCACTCCAATTATTCAGCAGGTCGTCCCGGTAGCTTTGGTGACTTGAATTTCGAATCAGAGACGGAGAACACGATTAAAACCGTGCTACATATACCCCCACCACCTTTACCTCTGGCTCGATTCGACCAATCTACAGTGACTGGAAGTTCCGAGCCTCTCGTGGATGAAATTGCCGCATGTGTCAGTGAATGGAATAGTTTGCTCTATACATACATCAATCAACGACAATACAATTTATTTAATACTGTTCGAGATCATATCAATTATTTATTTCAGGCAAGAAGACAGTTACTCGATCAAGCCTTATCAAGGGAAGAGTTATTTAAATTAAGAAAGGATATCATACAACGCATGGTCATTGGTAATATGGATCAACATCAGCCCATGATCATTCGTCAACCCCAAAAGGGTTATTTACTCGATGCCAATAATGCTTCTCTCAGTAACATATATCGTATGCACTGGAAATATGCCACTTCTGTTATCAACAACAATGAGTTTTCAACTACGACAACAAACACCGCCACAAATGCAACAACGACAACAACAACGACGACGACTGCGCCCAGTGACACCGTCCTTTTACAGAATACACCCAATCAGCAGCAACAACAACAACAGCAAGCATCACATCCCAAGGGAGCCAAATTCCATCATTTATTTTTTGAACTAAAAGCATGTGTTGCGCAAATTTGTCAAGCGGGCGAATTCACCGAATTGTATTTTGCATTGTATTCTGCCACCGAACAAAAGTTCTTGACCGAACAATTTGTGGTTGTATTAAACTACAATGGTATGCCCAAAGACGAAACACAGATTGGAAAGATGCGAGCACTCTTTGTCGATTTATCGTTGCATGATTTAACCGATAACCTTTATTTGGTCTGTCATATTGTCAGACTAGGTGGTATGAAATGGAACGACAAGGACCAGTTTTATTCATCTTCGATCTTTCATTCCAACAAGCACCAATCTTTCCAAAAGCAACAGTTTAACGGAAATGCTGTATCGACGCTCTGTAAAAGACCGTTTGGATGTGCCGTGCTTAAATTAAGTTCGATCCTGAACCCTTCTGATCCATCCTCTACCACTACCACCACCAATTCTTCTTCCATCGTCACTCAGTCGTCGTTGGTAGAATATGATATGCCCATCTATGTTCCCATCTCAGAATCAACCTATACCAGCCTACATGAAAGCATTATTTTCGGCAACGCCAAGGAATTTCAAACAAATCCTCGTGCAGAGACACTCCGTATCTCCGTACGCACCTTTTTTGGTTATTTAGATGAACTTTTGAAAACAAATGCCGCTTTATTAGGAGACGTGCCTAAAACATTGCGTTTGGGTTTTGCTGATGTTGTGTTTCCCGATGACGGTCGTAATGAACTGTATATCACTTTAGAATCAGGTGATTTCACACAGTTTAATCGGTCCAGAAATATTCAGGTGGCCATGTGTGTGCGTGATAACAAGACGGGTGAGGTGATTGAGAATGCCATCTCGATAGGCGCAGGAACACGACCTGTCAGTTCTTGGGAGAGTATGATTATGTATCATGAGCAACGACCCAAATGGGGTGAAATGATCAAGATTCATATCAAGGACAATCATCAGTGGGAAAGATCGCATGTCTTTTTAACAATCAAGCATAAAAGCTCTAGTTACAATGGATCGGGTGCCAATCCAGCCATCATCAAATTCGGTAGTAATGAAGTCGCACCAAATGAAAAGATCATTTCCATGGGCTTTTTACCCTTGTTTTTACCTCCCTTGCATCGTGATTTTATAGCAGATGGTACACATACTTTATACCTGTATAAATATGATCGTCAAGCCAGTACGCCGAAAAATTACCTGGAAAACACGCCCTGGTGTTTACGGTCATCTTCTCCTTCCAATATGGTACAACAAAATATGGACTATCTTGTACGCGTTCGATCACCCACACCGTTACGCAAGATGGGTCATCAACATTCACCATCGAACCAAAGTTTTAAAAGTGCCACAGGCTCATTTTCTTCTTCTGCCTTTGGTACCAGTGCTTCCAACAGCGTCAGTGATTTATCTCTTGGTCAAAACAAGTTGACTTCGTTGCGTGACACCCTTGTTTTATCCACCTTTTTATGCTCCACCCAATTTACACAAAATAAGACGCTTGTGAAACTACTGAATTGGCGCACCTTGATGGAAGGTACAGAAGATGGTACGGTAGAATTACTTTCGATTTTAGATCAATTCACGTTTGTAGGTGAAGTAGAGGTTGTCAAATTCTTGGGTGATATCTTTGACGCCCTGCTGGATATTCTCGCTTATCCACACGATGAAGATCAATTGAACGACGAAATTAATAATCAAGTATTGGCTGCCATCATCTGGTTACTGGGAATTGTTCAGGATCGTCGTTTTAGTAATTTCAGACCTGTACTTGACGTGTATATCAAAAACCGGTTTTCAATTCAAGAGTACGAACGCAATTTCCCTAAACAACAAACCTCTGATGGTGAGGCCAATTATAGTTACCGACCTGTACAAGAAACCACCTATCAGCATTTGATTGCCAGTCTTTCACGACTCTGCAGTGATCACAGTAAAGCGAAATTATTGCGTAGCAGTATGAAAGTGTGGGACTACTTGTTTCGATTTATTGTACGGTCTCGATTAAACCAACAGGAAAAGGAAGAAGAGGGAGAACGTGCACGTAGTGATCGACAATTCCGAGACGATCTAAATAAGCTTTTGGAGGCAATCACATCCATCATGAGCTCAGATCAGCCTAGTTCCATGATCGGCACACAAACTTTAACCTTACAACATTTTGCCGATATTCTAGAAGAGTTGCACAAGATCTTTAGTCCTCAGGAGGTGGTTCAAATTGCGGTTTCCTTTGTTGATGCTTGTTCACATGTCACAGGCCGTTTAGTAGGGTTTAAGCTAGCCATGATCTTGACCATCGTCAAAGGTTCGACATTTCATGAGACTCGATTGGATCTTGCAAAAAATGTATTTCGATGGATTCGACTATGGATAAACTCGTATGGATCTACAGCCAAGGATGTGATTTTCGCGCGTCAAGTAGAGCAACAAGACCCTTCCGTCGATATCAACCAGGCACAAACTCGATTACCCCGTGGACAATGGGTAGAGAACCTAAGGCTTTCCTTGACAATCATGAGTGAAGTCTTGGATAAAGTAAGAAAGTCGTTTGGTATGGCATCCTCTGGACTTTCATCTTCCTGTGTTTATTCCCCTTCATTTCAATCAAGACCTACCTCTTTGGCAACGACCGTAGATGAGGATTACAATCAACATGATTTAAATACAATTACAGATGCAGCACTTCAATTGATTCCTCAATTGATTCACGCTTACAAGGATATCCAGAAAATGACGATCCAGGCAATGCATGTATCTACGCCCACAGAGACTTACACTCGACCTCATTCGAGACAGTCGATTAGTATTCTTCGTGAACGGTCAACTTCGATTGGAAATAATACCAAGAGTTCCATCATGTCACCTGATATTTTGCAAGAAATTAAAGGTGCTTTACCTGCTGCTAATGCTTCCACAACCACTCTATCAGGCAATTCAAATAGTAAGTAAGAAAGAAAGCAGAGAAAGTAAATATATATATTTACTCATACACACCTGTCTTCTTTTTTTTCAGTGGTTTTACAAGCGTTGTCAACGTCCCCTGCAGCACCTTTTCCAAGTACTTATCCGTTCCAGCCACGTACCGTGTCTACATCCGGTTTGACCAGTGATCATGCGGCGATGCTTAGTACGGGACTATTGGATCTCAGCGTAGTGATACTTGAACTTTTTTACTTGACGCCCAAACAACAATGGACGACGTTTATCAAGAAAATGTACGAACAAGAAGGAATTGAAGAAACGTGTGATTTTCTCTGTAAAGTAGTGTACATGTGTATGTCCATTTTATTCGGGGACAACATCATGACCTTGGAAGAAACCAGTCTGGACCATGACGCCATGTCATTGGAAGAAGACGACGATAGCAAGTTAAAACGCAAACTACCTGATCATTGGCTCAATCTATCGACCATAGCGCATCAAATTGTTCTTTGTCATGTATTGGAACCCATCAAATCAATTTTGGAGATGCCGGCGTTTACACCTGCCGCCTATGATAATTCACCCAAGGTCATGCACGAACAAAAATCCGCTCTGTTATTGTGGCGTGTTTACTTTGTGGGATTTTTACGTGTTGTGGGTAGCCCTCAATTAGAAGTGGCCGAATTCATGCCTCAATCACAACGCGCCGTTTGGAAAATCATTGGAAATATGCGTGGTGAAGTAGGGGCAAAAGTCTTCTTGTCCTTATGGCATACAGCCGGTGCCTCCCCATCTTCCTCCTCTTTGTCGTCATCCACGGCAGCTACCGTCACAGACCGCTCCTCTGAACCTGGGAGAGATTCCACTGACTATTTCAATTCGCAATCACCTGTCATGACAGACCATGCTTATTTTACCGAAGACTCTCGCATGTCCATGGCTTCCATTGAGGAAGTCGACGATGATGATATTAGGCATAGTGTTCGGATCGGTCCAACCGACGAAGTTCCGCTTTCTTCGATTCATGAAGAGGAAAACGAATGCAAGTCGCATATTGTTGCGTTCCTGCAAGAAGACTTGGCCGAATATATACTCAGTCCGTTATGTGCGGTCAGTTTAACGCTTCATGATCGTGTGCGATCCAATGCCATTGCTGTGATGGCTGATATTATTGCTATTGAATTATACACGTTTGGTGAATTGCATAATGTACAACATGCCCTGATTAGTACTTTGGATCGTTTAGTCATGTATGAAGAAAAGGGCGATGAAGTCATTTGTTCGCGTATCTCGATCGAGTTAGCCACTGCTTTAGAAACCCGCCTTCAAACAGCCGACCGTAATGATCTGATTGTGCCCGGTTTACGCGCGGTGGATTCGATTTGTAAATTCTTAAGTTTGTTACTACAGATTCGAAGTTTACCGTTGGACGATGATGAATTTATGGATGAACGTATCACATCTACTTTGAAACTGATGAAATTCATTCAGGTGATTGAACGAGAGGAGATCTATATCAAGTACGTGCATCAATTAGTTCAACTTCATTTGGACAGTCGTAATTTTATTGAGGCAGCGTTGACCTTGCAATTTCATGCGGATTTATTGGCGTGGGATCCCAGTGATCAATTACCGGCTATACCGGAATTGGGACTCAAACTTCAATCGTCTTTCCATCGCAAGGAAGGACTTTACATGAAAATGATTACCTATCTGGACCAAGGGTGTGCTTGGGAACTCTGTATTCAATTATGCAAAACTTTAGCTTACGAGTATGAAACAACGCTCTATGATTTTGTCAAATTGAGTGATATCTTGTTACGTCAATCGACTTTGGCTGAAAATATCGTGAAAAAGGAACGATGTTTCACGGAATACTTTCGTGTTGGATTTTATGGCCGTGGATTTCCTGCCAGTAATCGTAATCAACAGTATATCTATCGTGGTCTCGAATGGGAAAAGATGCCTTCATTTGTGGAACGTATGCAAAACCGTCATCCCAACGCACAACTCTTATCGAGTAAGATATCCAACGCAGTGTCTGTTAGTGAGGAGCAACTGAAAGAATTAGAGAGCACACTGGATGGACAATACCTTCAAATTACCTCTGTTACCCCCATTCCCGACATGGACAATCATTGCCTTTCAAATCCTATTGTACCAGACTGTATCAAGAAATACTATTACTTTAATAACGTATCCAAGTTTTCCTTCTCACGTCCTGTCATTCGTCCTCCCTCTACAGATATCGATACCAAACAACCTGAATCGGATTTCTTGAACTTGTGGACAGAAAAAGTTGATTTTGAATGTGAAGATCGTTTCCCTACCATTGTGAGACGATCCAAGATTATTCATTCTCAATTGATTGTTGTGTCGCCTATAGAAAACGCTGTGAAGGCGATGGAGAACAAGAACAACGAATTGATCTCGTTGGAAAAGAAATATGCTGTCTATTTAAATCAACATCATCATACGAATATCAATATTAATCCATTCTCTATGTCCTTGAATGGTGCAGTGGATGCTCCCGTTAATGGTGGTGTGCCATTGTATAAAAAGGCCTTTCTCAGTAAGGCCTATTGGGATAAAAACCCAGAGATGCGACCTTGGATTCAAAGACTCCAAGACGCTATTTATCATCAGGTATAGAGAACAAAGATTTTGATTTGTTTTTGTTGTTAATTTTTAATTTAGGTCCGTATTATTCAAAAATGTTTAAACACGCATAATCAACTCGTGAGTGCAGAGATGCGACCTTTCCATACCACCTTAACTGAATGTAAGTAACACCAAGATAAATCATTCTTTTTTTTTTTTCAGAGTATTCATTTCTTTTATTAGTCTTTCACAAGAATTTTGCTGAAGAGATTAAAACGATCAAGGAACAAACGCAACAAGAAGCAGTGGAACATGTGCCTTTATCCATTACTACGACGGGATCAACGGTGAGTCGTCGTCGGTCTACGATTAGTAGTTGTACTACGGAAGTAGGCATGGAAGATTCGATCAAGTCTCGACAGAGTAGTACGATCAGTCAAACACCCGGGATTGGGGGTGTACCTGTTTTACCTCAATTACCCGTGATGTCGCCTATCAGTCGAGCATTTTCAATCCGTACACCCGTTACGGATAGTATGCCTGGTTCACCCCATTCCCCTACCGCTTTTGAACACGCCACCATGTCACGAGCCGAAAGTATTTCTCGTACATTGAAAATGTCACTTCGTAGTAAAAAACTAAGAAAGAAGTCTACGCTTTAAAATAAAAAAAAATAGAGTGTACAGCAAAAAAAAAAATAATAATAATAATTATTTTATTTTATATTTTTTTTAAAGCCTTGGTTTTTTACAATCACCATGGAGTTTCTTGTATTCTCGTTGCCAATCCCTCCAGGGGCGATCTGTTCTCCAATGAGCCTTATTATGATCTTGATCAGGTAAAATGGGATCGACGTCATGTAACCATGGATGGTTCACTAGATCGACAGCACGCGCTCTGTTTTCGTAACTCAACATGGGGTTCAGGAAACTAGCAATTTCTTCCGCTTCCAGTCGATTGTATCCGTACTTATCTTGAAGCACGTCTTCCAATGACCAGTATTTCAGGTTACGAATGTGACGTAAACAGCCCTTATGGTTAAAGTATTCGGGTGAGTTCTTTCCAGAGAGTGCAAAGTGGGGGTTCATGGGACCCATCAATTCAATAATTTGAGCAAGATGATCTTTTTTAGTTTTAAGAAGAACAAAGGGGTCAGCGTCGTGATAGGATGTTTAAACAAACAAACAAAAAACATACCATCGTCACGGTTGAATCTTGATCCCTTTTGAGGATCAAATAGGTAATTGCCAGTCAATAATTCGAAAATCTAGAAAGAAGGGAAGAGAGAGAGAGAGATGTTAATAGAGTGATACCTATGTATATACATAATATATTCACCATGCATGCTAAACTCCAGATATCTGCGCCTGCATCCCACTTGGCACCGAGGATAACTTCGGGAGAGCGATACTGTCTAGTTTGAATATCCTCTGTGAAATGATGGTCTACCCAACAAGCATTCCCCAGATCAGCAATCTTAATTTTGACAGCCTCTTCCGTCTCTGTTGTTGTTGTTGTTGTTGTTGTTGATGCACTAGATTTATTTCTCGAGTTGGATCTTGACCTCTTTTTCCTACCACGTTCCAATTCAGACTCATCTTGTTCACTTGATAATGGTTCGGAAGCGACCATTTTAACATGCCGATGTTTTCGAATCAGACTTCTTCCTCGACTCTTATCTTCTGGTGATATATGTTGGTTTAATTTCCTCAGCAATTCTTCGGCATTATCGATATACATGAGAACATTCTCGGGTTTTAAATCGGTATGGATGATACCACAGGTATCGTGTAAATAACCCAATCCTAGTAGCATCTGTTTGGCAATTTGTTTCACTAGGTTGGTGGGAATACCTCGACTCTTGTATCGTTTGATCAGTGATAACAGGTTTTCACCTAGAACTTCAAAGGTCATACAGACATGGACACCATTAGGTCCTTCTACCATAAAATCATCCACTACCGCTGTCACATATTCCGCACCCACAGAGGTTGGGTCTGCTTCCGCTACACGTTTTAATAATTTGATTTCGTCCAATGCTGTCTCTGTGTAATGCTTTGCAGATTTCACTACCTTCATGGCAAAATGGTTTCCAGTTCTATTTTTTTCTGGTGTTAGCCATCTTTTTTTTTTTGTTGCACGTATTGTATGTATGTGAATGTGTGTGTGTGCGCGCAAAAGAAAGAGAGAGAGAAAGAAATAAAAAAAGGCTACACGTACTTACGTAGTGTCTCTGACAAGCCAGACGGTGGAGAAATGACCCCAACCCAGTTTTCGAATGACGACATAACGACCGTCTTTATAACGTTCACCTACATGAACAGGATGGTAACCTCCTTTACGGTAATCCTTTCTATCCTCCTCTTCTCCTTCACCATCGCCCATGTCGGACACGGAACCGGAAGAATACGAACGATGCCTTGAGCAAGTTTTATCACGACTGTATTTCTTACTGTCTTCCTGACGTAACGATCTATGTTGTAATGTGAGTAATTAAGTAAGTAAAAAAAAAAGAAAGAGGGTTCTATATATACCTGGAGTCGTGACGTTGATACTCATGCTTTCTTGCATAAGGACCACCATGGTGTGGACGCTTTCTTCTGCGCTCTATGAAATTTTGTGTCTGTAAGTTTTTTTGTTGTTGTATGAGTGCGTGGGGACAGTTTATGAGTAGTTTTACCTTCTCTATCAGACATGAAGAAAAGATTAAAGAGAGAGAGAGAGAGAGAAAATGAAAAGCAAGCCACTTTTTTTTTAAAAAAATAATTATAAAAAAAAAAATTCCTCTCCCCCTTCTCTCTCTCTTAAAAAACGTCACTCTCCTCAAACAAAAGTGGCGTTTACAGAAATAATATCTATTAATAGGGCGGATTTTTTTTTTTTAAGGAGCAATGTCAAATCTTTGTATCTGACCTGCTTTAACAACTCAAATTTTATTTTGGTTCAAATTTATCTTTTTTTTTTCACTTTTTACTTTTTTTTTTATATATTCTTTTTTCCAAATATATACATCATGTCTTTTGCAGTAGAGAATCTCTCTAATGATTTAAATAGGTTGAATTTCTCAACACCTCATACTGCTTGGTTAAGCGGTAGTCAAAGAACAAGTAACCGTAATTTACAATGCGTCTCTAGTGACGACGATGAGGATGATGATGAAGAAGTGGTAGATAGTGAAGATGAAGATGATGATGGTTTACTTACAAAACCCACACTCATCAAGAAAAAATCAAACGTTCCTTTGCCAAGCGATGAAGAAGGTAAATAAATATATATATATTTAAATAGTAGTAGGAAAAAGGGGAAAAAAAACTCCCTCATTTATCGGAGTTGAAGGCATTATTTGTTTACCTTTTGTTTATGCATAGATGAAGGCGATGATGATGTGGTAGAAGAAGAAGAGGATGAAGATGATGATAACTGTGTCTTATTTAATAATGGAAAGAAGGAGATTGATGATGATGATCAAGTACTTGGGCAACACTTGAGACATCCTTCTTCTTCTTCTAATTTAGATGCACCCCCTACGCATCTGCATCAGTTTCAGCAATATCAGCAACAACAAATGGCATATCAGTACAGTATTCAACAACAACAACAATACAATTATCAGTTAAGACTACAACAACAACAACATCAGCAACACCAACAACAACAAGGGGGAGGAGGAGGGGGAGGAAAGAAACAAATGAGAATGACAAACATGTCCGGTATGGACTTATTAATCCAACGAGAACAAGAAAAAGCCGAATCAAAGCGACAAAAGCCCAAATTAAACCCAAGTAAAGTAAAAATAGAAGGGTTGCTAGGTAAATTACCTGAAGCTGGTTCTCATAATATTAATTTTCAACAAATACAACAACAACATCAGCAACAACAACAACAACAACAACAACAATCAAAGAAGAGATATCATAATCCATCCATGTACGATTATTACGCTAATGGCAGATCTTCGGTTCCACCCATGATGTATCCTCAACAACAACAGCAACAGCAACCACAACAACAGTTTTATCAGTTGCCTGCTTTTATGAGTAATGATAATTTATATACTTCCATTATACAACAACAACCACAAAGACCTGCAAGTTCATTTCAACATCATAAACAAAGATCTCATGGAGAATAAATCATTGTACTTTCTTTCTTAATTTAATAATAATAAAAAACAACAACACCAACCCCCCAAAAAAACCTTAAAATAAGGGGGGGAGGAGATGGTTGCTCAATCTAATTTTATTGCTTCCCCCTTCCTCCAGTGCGTGCACGACATTTTTTATAGTTTTTTAATAATAATAATAAATGCCGTTGAATGAAAATAAACAAACAAAACAAAAAAATCGTTTTATTGAAAAGGATTTACAGGATAAATATTAACAATGGGTGGAGATTTCTCCACATTCACTTGAATACGTACAGTGATTTTCGAAAAAGGTTGGAAACGTTGCATCTTGTGTTGATGATCAATCAATTGTTCAGAGAGTAATTCTTGTGGGATTTTGACAATTGTCTTTGTAGCTGTTTCTTCGTCATTTGAGTCTTGATCCAAATACAGTTGAGTACCGGAGGGTTCTACATAATCCTCCATCAATTTACGTCCCTGGTCCCATTCTCGGTTAGACTCAATCCCTTCTTTCCAATAAGCCGCTAATGCAACCTTGTGAGGGTCATACACAAATCGTTCAATCGGCAGTGCATCCATATGCACTCTTTTTTCAAGACCATACTCGGCCACCAAAATTTCAAAGCAGTCCTTCAATACCTGCGTCACAATCGCTTCACATACAACAGGCTTTTGAGTTTGTTTTTCCAAACCATGTAAATAATGAGCCAAATACAGTTGAATGTTCATATCTTGAGAGTTCTTGGCCCCTTCCTTACGATCATTACAATGATTAGCCGCCTTTTGGATATCGTTCTTTTTGTAACCACAGGAGGGCTTTTCTAATAAAGCTGCTTCTAATTGACGATGCACAATGATGTCAGCAAATCGTCGAATAGGCGACGTAAAATGGGTGTACAGTGGCACGTTCAATGCATAATGGCGATACTTGATGGCATCACAACTGCCCGTACAAAAGTACTTTGCTCGTTGCATTGGTTTCACCGCTAAAAGACGTAATACTGCTTTTACATCTTCATTCTCAATTTTGTTGAACGACTTTTGAATCGATCCTGCGCTAGACCCGTCCATGTCATAGCCTAAATTCTCGGCAATCTTGATAAACTCCGCCTAACATTCATGAAAAAAAAAGAAAAAGGTGTGAATACATCATTTCCAAGAAGAACAAACAAAAAAAAATATAGTACTTACAAGGCTCTTTTCGTGAGGAGGCGCGTGTTGACGCAATAGAGCTTCCTTGGGGTAATGGTGACTGATCTTTTTAGCGACACTCATATTGGCACACAGCATAAATTCTTCAATCAATCGATTGGCATCCTTTTGTTCATAGATAGCTACATCACAGGGCTCACCCAATTCATTCAATTTAAAGGACAAGCGGATGGAGTTAATCGATAATGCACCACTATCAAATCGACGTTGACGCATTTGTTTTGAGAGCTTGAAAAGATATTGGATATCTTGCTCCACTTGGGATAACGTGTAATCTTTCACATTGACAGATTTGGGTAAACCCGTGTTTTCAATCACACTTTGAGCATCTTCATAAGCAAGCTTAACACAAGATTTAATCACGGTCTTGCCAAACCAAGTGTCCTTGATATTACCTGCAGTGTCCATCTTCCAAATCACTGAGAAAGCAAGCCTAGTTTTCCCAAAAAAAAAATCGTTTAGTTTTTTTTTTTTCATAAGCTGGACGATAAAAAGATATCCTTTACCTTTCAACACCAGGGTTTAAACTACATAATTCTTCACAGAGTAAAGAAGGTAACATGGGAATGACACGGTCACATAAATAAGTACTGGTACCTCGGTCAAAGGCTTCATGATCCAAGGCCGTATGTTGATTGACGAAATGAGAGACATCGGCAATATGAACACCTACTTCAAACTCTTCTTCGTTTAATTTTGTTACATGCACAGCATCATCCAAATCTAGAATAATAAAAACGGGTTGGTTAGAACAATGGTAATAATTTTATATATACATGTATACCTTTGGCTGTAGCGGGATCGATAGTAAAGATGCGTGTGTCACGAAGATCACGTCGCTTATTGATATCGGCTTGTTTGATAGACCAAGGCACTTCAGGTAAAGCGTTTAAAGCCTTTGCACCAAATGCTTTCTCCGCGATATTATTATCAGCAAGCACTGCTTGAGTTTCAGCCACGATATTACCAATAGGACCCAATTCACGTACGATGGAACCAAAGGGAGAGATGGAATCGATCGGCCAACGCGTGATCTTTGCCACCATAAGAAGATCCTTGTATTTAGCCTCGTTCTTGACGAGATCGGCGGGAGCATTTTTCAATTGGATACCAATAAGGGGGTTACGAGGATCGATAGGCTTAAACCAAGCCATGCGTACATTTTTAAGATCGATGGGGTCTTGATTGGGATCAGAGAACCTGGGTTGAATGGATAACGTACCAGAGCAGAGGTTGTTTTTGTTGGGTGTAGAGATATAGACGACTTTACCCACATATTTAGGCTTGGCCTTATCATCTTCACCTTCATCTTGTGGAGGTCTCTCCAAGGCTGTACTATGACGTTGTTCCCGTTTCTGAATCATGGATTCCTTCTTTTTAGCCCAAATAGTTTCAAGATCCAACAATTCAATAATGACAATATCACCTTCCAAGGCACGATTACGATCACGCTGTCCATGAATGAATACATCGGCGTCGAGATTATCACACGTCACATAAGCGTCATTTCGGTTACGTTTATTGATTCGAAGCAGACCTTTGAAATATTTACCAGAGTCCAATCTTTCTTGACAGATCTTGGGATCCACATAAGGTTCAAATCGAACTCGATTCTTACCATGCGTAACATCATTTGGATGACGGTATTCTTCCGATGATGATTTTTTAACCTTACCCCTTGATGGGACTGCTCCGTCTTCCTGAGCTACCTTCTTTCGCGCAGCCTTGATCTTGAGGATCTTGGCCTTTTCTCCGTCAGTGTCATGGGGTTGTTGATGAGGACTGGCCTTGGATTTCTTGACCTTGGCGGGTTTTTCTTGCTTCTCGTGATGGCTGGACGATGCTGGCTTGTCACGGCTGGAAGAGGCTTGTTTTTCATGGCTAGGCAAAGCTGGCTTATCAAGACTGGACAATGCTCGCTTATCAGGACTAGACAATGCTCGCTTATCAGATGACGTTTTCTCTTGTTGAGATGACGTATTTTCTTCTCCAATGGGAATGGAAGCCATAGGAGACTTTTCATGCATGCTGTCTTTGGTGGATTTTTTTGATGCCTTGGATTTTTTCTTGCCTAAACGTTCTGTCGTCATGAATGCAGGTGGAGGAATTTCGGCATGTCGGTCTAAATTTTATATGTTAGCTTGTGGAGGGAGATTTAATAAAGAAAGTGTCCTTACTCTTGGCCGATGGAGCATTTTGGTTACAGTTTCTGCCTGAAGAAGATGTCGTTGAAGACATGGAAAAGATGGGTGATTTTTCATACTTTTTCGTTGCGGCTGCTGCTGCGGTAGCCTTGGTAAGCGGAGCGAAATGAATATCACCTCTTCTTTCGTCAATGCTAAATGACTCACGAAGTGCGTCATGCAATCGTTGGTAATCAATGACATGTTCGCCTTGCTTGAGTTCCGTGGTGGTGGTGGAGACCGTGGTGCTGCTAGAAGAGGCATTCTCCTTCTTCTTTTTGGGTTTGGGCGCCTTCTTCTTCTTTTTGATAGGTTCGGAAGTAGGCACCACCTGTTCCTCCCCTTCTTCTTGTTGTTGCTGTTGTTGCTGTTGTTGCAATGACGCAGTCGGCTTTTTTTTTCTTAAGCGACGCGTCTTGACTTTTTCAACAGACGCATCTGTTGTCTAAAAGTTTTTTTTAAAGAAAAAGGTTAGTAAGAGGTTTCCTTTTTCTTTCCTCGTGTAGTAATATTTACTGCTACTGTTGTTGCTTGGTTGTCTTTTATGTCTTCTTTCATGAAAGTGAATAGACGGAAAGAAAAGAATATCTATATAAAAAAAAAGTGTAATGTTTTTTTAGTGTCCTGTTTTGCTGCGGGACTTGTGACTCTGTAATGCATTTGCCATTGGCATTAAAATATGTCATATTTATTTATAAAAAAAAAAGAGCCTATGATGCAAATTTCTGGTTAGCTATATCTGATTCATGATTATGTTTTTAGCTTTCTTTCTTTTTTTACCTTGAAGGTTGTTTCTTAAGGAGAGGAAGGGGTGGAAGGATTGTAATGGGTATAGGGAAAGGATTGTAATGGGTATAGATAAAGGAGTGGAAAGGGCATAGATAAAGGAATGTAGAGGGCCTAAGGACGAGGACCGGGTGGCATACTGATGGGGGATGGGAGTCGAAAACGGAAAGTAACGACTCGCCATCTTGGATCATCGACAATTGCTACGAGATCCAATACATCATTAGCATTATTGGCCACAACGTCCGTAAGTTGTGCCTGTAAACCCTGAGCCCAATTATCAAGCTCGGCTTGAAATTGGGCTTCTGGGTCAGGATTCACAAGCACCGGACGAAGGGCCTCAGCCTCCGTAACCCCATCTTCTTGTTGTTGCTGTTCCTCGAATACCACGTCTAGAAGACGTGGTAAGAGATCGTACAATTTCTCGCTGGAATTGCCTAAAAAAAAAACATAAGTATTCTCTTTGATAAATTGATTCAATGAATGTACCTTCCAACGAGGTTACAACAAAGTTGTCCTATAATAATAAGTGAGTAAATGGATAGAGAGTACTATATTATATGTGATTTACCATTGCAATGCTTCTTCTTTTTAGAATTCTGGGTGGTTTTAAAAAGAAAGGTTTGGAAGATACCCCTTTCGAAAACCCCCCCTCTTGTAAAACCACACCAAAACTACAGCTAAATCAGTAATCAATAAGTTTATCAAAAATTTATAAAAAAGATTATATAACTTACGTGCTTCGTAAAGCCTGGTTAAGGGCTTTAGGCCACAGTTTGGTTTTGTAGCCTTCCAAGCTGACTTGCCGCAGCCCATGTCCTACGAAAACTCCCAATACACCTATTGGTTTATGAGAAAACGGGTTTTTATTAAACGGATTTACTTTCAAAACTTACTAAGTTACGTGGTCTTCGAAATGCAATACATTTCTATTACTAGATGTCATGCTTTAACATTTGCTTAATTAAAGGCATGTTATGGACATTCAAAGTGCACGTAGCCTCCAAACGAGACTTCACTAGTAGACTGCTGTACACGCAGAAGCTTTTAGATGTACAAGAATGGGAAAGGAGGTGCGTTATATGTATAAAAAAGATACTGTTGAACAAGAAGAAAAAGAGTATGATAATTTTGTTTTAATCTTGCTTTGGAAAAAAGTATGATAAACAAGAAATTATTTATGTCAGCATGATGAGGTAATTTTTTGTTTATTTTGATGTAAACAAAAATTTTCAAAGACTGTCAATTGATGTAGTAAATCCGTCTGACTGTTTTAAAAAAAAAGTAGATGAAGATAGACAAGTGAGTTAGAACATGTATACAATTTTATTCACATATAAAAGGTATCTTATGTGTAGAGGCTACGGATGTTTACGTTAGGAATCAAGTGGGGTCGGAAAATATGAAATGCATTAGATGAGTAGATATGATGTTACATCTATTTAATTAACGTGTGAAGTTATACCCTCCCTAAAATTGATTTCTTTAGTGTTTTAGAATCATATGAAATAACAACATAAATAAATAAAGCAGGAATTTTAGGTTCCGGAGGCCTCCTCTTCTATTTGTCCTGTGGGAATTAGATGTCGCGTTGGTACTCCAGTAGTAGCAGACTGATAAAAAAGCTGGCTTATGTAGTTATCTATCAGCCTTTTCGTGAGGGCGTGTACAGAAAATAAAGAAAAAAAAAGTATCAATACATAGATATTAGTCAGATGGATCAGTCAGATTGGATAGATATGGTGTTGTAATGTTTACTTGCCACAAGATGACACAACCCAGAGATCGATCGCTGGGTCCTTACAGCATGCTTATATAAAAGTCCGTGGGCGTCTGAATTTTTGGCTAGCTTTACAGTATTGTTTATGTAACTATGAGACGAAAGTATATAAAGATGATCCTGCACTGAAGTCCCTTTTAATCCTGTAAATCTTATTATTTATTAAATGTCGCATATAAATAAAAAAGAAAATTGACAAAGGTATGTAGCTCACGTATAACATTGATCCCATTATCCATTTACTCACTCATTTTATAGGACAATTATGTCCCAACCTCGTTGGATGGTACATTTATTCAATCAATTGATCAAAAAGAATACTGATTTTTTTTTTTTTAGATAATTCCAACGAGGAACAACAACCACAACAACCACAACAACAACAACAACAACAACAACCACAACCACAACAACCATCACCACCATCACCACCACCACCACCACCACCACAACAACAACAACAAGAACAAAAACAAGAAGATGGGGTTACGGAGGCTGAGGCCCTTCGTCCGGTGCTTGTGAATCCTGACCCAGAAGCCCAATTTCAAGCCGAGCTTGATAATTGGGCTCAGGGTTTACAGGCACAACTTACGGACGTTGTGGCCAATACTGCTGATGATGTATTGGATCTCGTAGCAATTATCGATGATCCAAGATGGCGAGTCGTTACTTTCCGTTTTCGACTCCCATCCCCCATCAGTATGCCACCCAGTCCTCGTCCTTAGGCCCTCTACATTCCTTCATCTATGCCCTTTCCACTCATTTATATATGCCCAACATTACAATCCTATATCTATGCCTATGACAATCATTTATCTATGCCCATTACAATCCTTTATCTATGCCTATGACAATCCTTATCTATGCCCGTTACAATCCTTTTTATATACCCATAACAATCCTTCCAGCCCTTCCAGCCCTTCCACTCCTTTAAACAATAAAAAACTAGGCCCTTTTAGACAAAGTAAAATTTGATTTTCTCATAACAAAACAGAAAAAAAAAAGGGAAAACTACCCATATACAAACGATCATTCTTTACACCAGTCAATCTAATGTCTGCTGTGCGAGAGCAATTTTTAAAGCATCATTTATCAAAATCCTGGAATTTCTTGTAACAGCAAGTACAGATGTGTTAACCCTTGCTTTTCAAAAAGCTGCTATCAACATGACGTAATCATAAAAAATGGCCATCAATTCACAGCTGCTGTACTCAATGGCGGTCTATCTTTTTTATCACTTGACATGCTGTTTTTAGATGGATTTTGATGTATAGTAAACCACTGTTTCCGTACACCCTTTCAAGCCAAAAATATGCTAAAATATCATATAGATTTTTTTTTTTTTTTTTTTTTTTTTTAGGAAGCTCTGAAAATTACTAATCCGCCTTTTCTGAACCATTCCTGTAGCTTTTATGAAAAGTGTCCTCAGGTGACTATAATCCAAATTTAAAGCTTTTTCTGTTGGTCTAATTTGTGGAGCAGTTTTATTATAAAAATATTTGAATCTGGCTCCTAAAATAAAAAAAACCAGTTTTTGTTGGGCAAAAAGTTTATTTTCCACATATGAAACTGCACTATAAAGTTTATCTAAAGATGAGCCTAATTTTTCTGCGCATTTTTTGGCATAAAATTATCTTAATACCCAGTTACTTTCCTTATTGACACAAAATTCACGGAATGTGTTTTTATTGACTCTGTTTATGAAAAAAAAAAGGAAAGCGTTCAAACGGCTTTTTGACTTGTAAATAATAATAAAAGTTTGGTTAATAGCTTCTAAAGCTATTGAAAAAGTTCGGCTTGATTGGTTTAGTGTGGATTTTACTATCATTCATTTGATGTTTCTGGATTTTTTAAATGCATTTTTCCGTTCCGTACAATTTAATAAGCGTTAAAATGGGAATAAAAGCTGTAACGAAGACATAAGAAAAGGATAACTAAGGGAAAGAAAAGAGTAACATCAAGAGAAAATAACAATGCCAGTCTTTCTATAGCCTTAAATTCAAAGCACTACTCTCAAATTATAACTGAGCAAACTAAATTCTATAATATCGTTGGGGTAAGAGTGGATGTATCGTAATAGAAGCTATATACACTTCTTAATTGTTCTATTTCATGATAATCCTAAATATATCTTGATAAATACTTTATATCAAATACTAATTCTTCACTTTATTCAAACGTGATTGTATGGCGTCATTTATAAGCCATGCTTTTATATGATAGCGTTAAAATGAAGCATACAATGGTTATATTGGCCACATTGAACGAACCAAACCCTAATCAAAGCGGGATACATTTTTATATTTTAACCTTTAAAACAACTGCCACTGTGAAATCATACCAAAAAAATAAAAAGTGGGGTAAATCCAAATATAGTGATTGTATACATAAAAAAAAAAAAAGTTGAAGTTTTATTTAGACAATGTTATCTAACAAAGCTCTGAATCTGAGCTCCAACTCTTCTTCTTCTTCCTCTTCCACAGGCTCCAAAGCAAATTCACGTAAGATGGACTTCACCTTTTCTTCACGTTCCAAGGCAGCACAAATTTGTTGAGCATGAGCGCGTGCAGTTTTTTTAGAGATAGGCACACAATCATTGGGCTTTGTTTGGTGGAATAAGTAGCCTTTCTTTGATAAAAACACATGACCGCATACGTGGCAAGGAACTAATATCATGTTTTAGTTATAAAGGAATGGATGAATACACACTACACTTACCGATAACTCTGGGTTCAGGCATTTTTTTTTAAAATAGATGTTTAGACTTGTTGTAAAATCGAAAACGATAATAAATAAAAAAAAAAAAATGTGAGGAGGACATACTATATATCATTTTATGTAAAACAATCAATAATGGAAGATTCTTGCATGGTTTCTTTATAAGACAAACTCAAAGACACAAGGGTAAAGAAGACAAGAAAACAAAGAAGCCATGAAATCAGAGAAAAAATACGATTAATTATTGCAGCAATAGTAGGATTCTAAAATGAGTTGTCGTATTTCCTCTGTACGGAATAGTCTCCAGTGTGGCTAATCTTATAATACCGGGTATAATCTTGTTAAAGATTATATATTGGGAACTCTATTTTTGTTGATCGATTATGGCTCTCATTGATCTGTTACGGAAGTAAGCATCTACAGCTAATGAGAATCTTTCACTTAATGATTTGGGCCAATCACTATGATAAAATATGGATTGGCCTAATATAAAAAGCGTCTTCCCTATTGTAATGATTTTATCTCTGCAACTTTTATTCAGAACATCACATGAGCAACAAACAACTCTACATGTTTTCATTTTTTTTTTTTTTTACACAATGAAATAATTCAAATTCATACAGCGTTCTCGCATGATAAAGAAAAAGAGAGTTGCAATTGTTTCCTCAATGTAAATTTGCAGCAACAATAACAGCATAAATACCCTTTTTTGAAATTCGATAACCTTTTTTTTTTATTGAACAATGAAATAGAGTGCCTCATTATGGTTGATGTTATTATTGACCCTGATAAAGAGACTGCTATAGGCTAATTTGATTATTTTCATGACGAATATAATCATTTAATCAGAATTAGGTCCTCTTTCTTCTTTTTTCTTTCATTTTTTAATAGTTTGAACTAAAAAGAAAAAGAAAATGACTACCAGAAGAATACCTAGTAAATATAACATGTAAAAAAAAAAATGGGTGCTCCATGTAAGCTAATTAATCTGTTTTAAAATAGCTCAGTGCGTTGTATGTAAAAAGAACTTTGAGGGTACTCGAGGATTGAACATGCACCGATCTAAAAGTGCTTCATGTCAACAAGTCTACGATGAGTATGATGAAGAAGACGAAGAAGAAGAAGAGGAGGAGGAAGAAGAAGAAGATATCATGCAAGATCCTTTTCCTCGTATCTTTAAAACTGGATCCATGGCAACACCCAATATGAGACGAACCCGATTATTCAAGGTATGCGAGTTTATTTTCTCGGCGTTTGAGATGACTGTTACTGCAATCATATTCATGTCGATCTTGATGAATTATTTGAAGGAAGTACCTACCTTTTGCTACTATCTTTTTTTAATCTATTTGGTTTGTCATCATGGTCAGTTTCTGTTTGATTGTTTCTTGGCTGGCTATACGGTTGTTATTCATGCTAAACGCCGCGTTTTTGGCTAGTAAAAAAAAAACTTGTATATATCCTGTGTCTTAAATCGACAACAATAAAAATCGACGACAACAACATCGACAACTTTAAAATAAAAAAATAAGTGACTTTGTTTTGAGAATGTCGATTAAAAATTTCCCTTTTGCCCTTTTCTTTTTTTTTTCTCTTTACTTGGACTTTCACCTTGACATTGGGTGTCAGATAAGGTAATTGGTTTTGTTGTCACTACTTTAATGTTGTCAAAGACTTAACGATGAAATATAAAGGCATGTAAAAGGTCCAAGTCATGAGCTCCAGTAGATGCTCTTCGTCATGGAGGTAACAAAAAATATGGATGTAAAAAAAAACAAAACTAAACAATGGTCCATTAAAGAAATAAAGTTAATAGAAATGACATGGAAGACAATAGCCTTTTTTGTTGTTGTTGTACAACATCCTCGTGAACGTTTAAGAGGCGTCGGAGCATTGTAACGGGATTCTGAAATGCGAGGACGCTGTTTGTGTCCCTGATTGCTTTCTATCTACCTATTAATACGTAAAATAAAAAGATGTTTTGCGACTGTATTAAACCTTTCAATGGTCACATGAACCTGTTGCTTTTCGACCAATAACTTATTGTCACCTTCTCAAGTGAGAATGACTGATATTAGAGGCGTATGCAGGCAAATGGTTGATGGAATAACAGAGTCATCCTGGCTTTGATTCTGTAATTTGTTTTGTTATCAATGTGTGTCTTTTCAATTTTTACGTATCCATAATTATCATAATCAGGCAGTTGAGAAGGTTTCTTACCCCTTTTTGTAAAAACATCCGGTACCATTTTGGACCTGATGAAGGAGCTTAAGCTTAGACTTGACATGGAGAGCACATGATCATCCATTTAAATTTTTGACAGGATGGTGTGTGTGACTTTAACGTTCAGCCTATAAAATGGATGTTGTACATTTAGTAGATTACACTTCGTCATATATTTTCCTCTAATAAGATTATTATTTGTGCGAAGAATGTTATACATAAATCATTTATCAGAACACGTCTTATGTCTATTAGAAATAATAGTAGTACCATCTGACACACCGCTGTCAGTTCTGTCACAGGTGGTTTTTTTTTTTCTTTTTTGTTAGACGTACTTATTGATGCAACACGTGGTGTCTCTTAATTTTAACATACAGGTACGCTTGAAAGACACGCGCAACATGTCTCTTGCACACATGGATACGCGAGGACTGCTAAATTTAGCGTGCTTCAGAGCGCTCACTCACTCACGGTGAAAAAAAAAAAAATCCAGGAATCGGGGTATGAAACAACAAGTTTTTCTGCACCCCCCACCCACCCCTTGCTACAGAACTCTTTTATTTTTATTTTATTTTTAATTCCTTTTATTTCAATGAACAGTAATTCGACTGAATGTTATGAATGTATATGTAAAAAGGTAAGAGAGGGGTGTTGGGTTGGGTTGCTATTTAGTTTAAATTAATTTTATACAGAGTGGGGTGGGTTTTAAGTAAATTTGGGGGGTAATAGAAGTAAAAAAGATGGACGTGAAAAATAAATCCCTTTTTTGGTGTGTTGTGTGTGGGGTAGGGTGGGAAAAGTTGGTATATATACAAAGAGGCTGACAAAAATTCTTCTTTTTTTTTTTTTAGAGCGGGTTATGTGTTTAGAGGCGAAAGAGTTGACTAATCAGCGGATCCATCAAACCATCATCTTCGGTCTTGATGTAATCGCAGTGTTCAAAATCCACACCAGCAGAAGGAAGTTGAATGGTATCCGTATATAATTCAAAAAGACTTTCGTCTTTAAACACTGCCTCTTGGTGAGATACTGGTGACTTAACATCAGAACCACCACTACTGCTACTGCTAATACTACGTCGACAAGACGTATGCGTTGTTTCGAATAAGGGATGTTGTGGTGCCTGTTGAGACGAGGGTCCAAAAAGTAATTCATCCGATGAGGTGGGAACAGATAACATCAAGTTGGAAGGCGCGGTTGCGTATCCAGAGTTGTTATCAGCATCAGGTGGAGAGAAGCAATCGTGGAAATCTATCGAGTCGGTGGTTCCACTATGAAGTGATTCATTATCCTCCTCTTTGACAGCAACAACAGCAGGATGTATGCATTCTTGTTTGATCGTTTTATGGCCTTCTAATTCTGTCAATGCCGCCACAGTCAATCGAGTGTCACCGGAACCACCATCTTCCACCACCGTCGTAGTAGACACACGTAGTGAATTCTTGCGAGGGTTTAATTCAGGTAAAAATTTGCATCGATAGACATCCAGCACGCGTTGTAACAAACTCTTTTTGTTTGCTAATTGCTTAGGATTTAACCAAGCTAATTTCCAACCCAATTCATTACATTTGGCTTCTTCGATTTGACGTTGTGATGCGAATGGGGATAAAGTATTGATATCCATGGCACGAGGATAAACACAGTTAGATCGGCGGAAATTGATATCGATGGAATCCAAAGAGACCGCATCCACATTAATACGAATACGATATTTGGCGCCTCCCATACCATCATCAATCGACACAGTCTTTGGTAAATCACCCAGCACTTGTTTGGTATCTTCTTTTTTGATTTGTTTGAGTAGGCGGCTTGTCTCATCTTCTTCCATCAGCAAAGAGCCATCTTCAGATTCACGATTCTTGCGTTTACGTAATGTGCCCTTCAATAACTTTTCTTGACGAGCTACACGACGTGATCGCATACTAGGGTATCGATTACGGTAAGAATCCACCGCACGTTGAATTAGACCACGTTTTCCAGCAATCTCTGTTGAATTCAAGTAGGCTAATTTCCAGCCCAAGGTATTACATTCGGTTTCATATGCCCAACGATTGCCTTTATATTGATCGCGAGGTAAATTAGCACGAGGATAGACCTATTATAGATAGTAGTGATTAGCAAGATCAGCATACATAGAAACACAAACAACAACAAAAGAAAAACTTACGCAATTGTCACTCTTGAATCGGATATCCAAAAGATGAATATCTACTTGATCTACATCGGTACGAATGGAATAGCGGCGCAAGATACGATGATGTGAGTAGACAAAACTGACCCATTCAACACCATCACGTACTTCGGTACGTGGTTCGTGGTTGGGTAAGACAGCACCATTTGCTGTAGTGGTAGTAGGATTCGTAGCGACTGTGGTAGCGGTAGGGGTGATATTTGTGGAAAAGGTAGGAGGAATGCTGGATGGATTTGGAGTGGATGTCGTGGTTGTCGCTGGTGTGGTTGTCGCTGTAGTTGTTGCTGTTTCCGTTGCTATAGTAGATGATGATGGTGATGGTGTAGGTTTAGGTGGTGGCTTAGCGACCGATTTAGGAGTGGAAGGTGTGGTCACTGTGGTGATTGTATCTGCTAAGGCTTTGGCGATCTGTGCTGCTACAAGAGCCCAATCATGATGTAAAGTGGAGGGATTGGCTGTTAATGTGATTGGAATTGGAGAAACTATTAGGCAGATATGAAAAAAAAAAAATATTAGGTGGGTTAGAAAAAAAAATTTTTTTCAAAAAAAGATACAAAAATTTTCCACAGAAAGATTGATAGGAGAGGGAAATTTTTAAACAAAAAAAAAAAAGGTAAATTACCTAGTTGAGAAGGAGTGGATTGCTTCTTTTCCTTTATTTTGTTCAGTGTTTTTTCGATTTCTTCAAGCTGGGTAGAGGTAAGTGCTTCAAGTAAAGATTCGGATGATTCGGTTGGATGAAGCAAATCGTTGACACATAACTGGAGGTGAAGATTGGCTTGTGTCATTATCGTCGTCTATATTCCAATTAAATAAAATTATAAATGATTGATGGAGAGAAAAAGCGCGTTTTATAATTGTGATGTATATCAAAGATTAAAATAAATAAATAAAAAAAAAATATAATAAAAAAAAAAAAAGGAGAAGAAAAAAAATGATGACTCAAAACGGGTAGCTGTTAAATAGCTTTTTTACTACAAAGAGGAGATACAATTTATTTATTTTTTATCCCAATTTAAACACCGAATAAAGTGTGCTTTTGGGCAAAGATTTCAGTGTTTAGCATAAGAGATAAAGTAGTAGTAATAAAAAATATAAGGAGTTGAAATGGGATATATTTTCGCGATTTTGACATTTAGGAGAAATCCCCACATTATCTTATTTTTTGAAAAAACAGGGCGTCATTTTTTTTATTTAATAAGAAAAATCCACACTATTCCAAAAGCATCTATTTTGTATCACTTTTTGAACTTGATTTCAGCCCAACAAGACAGTGTTCATCCCGGGTAAACCATTCCCGTTTTATATCAAATGGTAACACTCCACACGGCATAATTTCTAAAAACAAATTTAAACTACTCTCTTATTTCATTGGTTTGGAATACAATGATTATCCAGGCGAAAAAAAAGAAACTTTTTTTTTTTTTTTTTAGGGTTTTTTTTATATTATGTAGCACAAAAGGCTATGTGTTCCTGGTATTTTCTTTTGATTTTACCAGACGCTTGTTTTTTGTTTAGCGACCACGACCGGGAGGGAAAGGTGGGAAAGTAGGTGGGGGAGGATAAGGAGGGAAAGTAGGTGGAGGTGGATAAGGTGGGAAGGTAGGTGGAGGTGGATAAGGGGGAGTCCAAGGTGCAGCACGAACAGGAACAACATCACGAGCACTATTGGATATATTAGTCTTAATCATACAAACATTTATATTTTACTTACGCCAAGGGACGACGAGCATATTGTTGAGCATAATGTTGAGCGTATTGTTGATAGGCCGCATACCAATCCTTGACTGCTTGTTCTTGAGCAGACACATCAGCAACAGAACTATCAGTAACAGCAGCATTAGTACCAGCTTCTTCAGCGGGGGCAGCCCATACTTGGACAAGTGCAAAGACACAGACGAGGAGCAATACAGCGAGAGCAGAGAAGGATTTCATTGAAGATAAACTGAATAATTTTTTTAATTGAACCCTCAACTTTCTCTTTCTTTTATATTCATATCTCTACAACAACTTTTTAAGAGTTTCTCACTACAATTGTCTATCATTTTTTGGCTATATTTAAATAATGGGTTTACTATAAGCTTTAATGGACCATCTCTTACTGATAAATGACTTTTGACAGCAACAAGAAAACGAGTTGTAAGAGTAATGCAAATACATGAATCCCTTTCATTTTAGACCACACACCCCTCTTTTTTCCATGTACTATTATTACATTTGCTGGTGTATTTGATCAAAACAATAAAAAAACAGGTTTTGATTTATTTATAGTCTTTTATATACTATATCATCTTTAGCAGCAGTTTGTTCTTTACATTCCTTGGTGACGTTTGTAGGTAACGGATCTTTTTGTTCCGGTTGATCCGTGTGTGTGGGGGGTCATTTACTAACAAAAACAAATGTAATCACAGACTGAGTTTCATCTTGAGAGTTACACACTCTTACGTTCCCTTCAGGGACTTTGTCAAGAAGGCCTAAAATGTTACTCGAGTGCAGAGATGTCTTAATGAATTTAGCGAGTTCAATTCGAACAGAAGTCAACAACTTTGGTAGTACCATGTGTCTCAATCTAAACGTTTTGTTTATTGGAATGAGCTTGAAGAACATTTAAATGAATAATCATAAAACTAATTCGGAACACACTGTAAGGCTTAACCTAAAGTGCATCTGAACCTACACTTTGTTCTTGAAATTATTTTTAGCGCGTTGAGTGATATAAAACTACCCCACCTAACAGCGATTCATACAGTTGGTTTCCTTCATTCTGGTTTGTTTAGTACATTTATTGAATTGGATGGACCTACGAAGTACATTTGGCAATTGTTCAAGGTACAAAACCATAAAACTTATAACTTAGCGTTAAGAATATTCTTTTGTATTTCACCAAGATTATATCTTTCTTTTGTAATACAACATTCTATCATTTTTAAATATAACAGTGGGCCCATTTTTTTAATAAAAAACAGTATATGTTAGACATAAAGCAGACATCTAAAATAGTGCCTATTAAGCACAGCATATTTAAGACATTAGAATTATGGACGCCATTATGATGATTTGATAAAAAAGCATTGATAAATAAATAAAAATGTCAACTTTAGCTATAACTTTTTTAGTTAGACTGCACAAATAAAGTATTTTTATGTCAGACATATAATGGGCATCATATTTAACGTGATTAAAATATGCTACATGGACAACGTGCTTGAAAAATGAAGGAAATAAGAGCAACACAAAGATATGGTTTTCTAGTACATCATTTTATGAAGAAATAAAAATATGGTTGTAAAATGCAAGGTCTAAAAAGACACAAGAAAAAAAGTGTTCAAACTAAGAACTAACCAGGGAAAAAAGGCATAAAAAGACATACCAAAATTTAAAATGTTGCATATTTTCTTAGTGTTTTTTATTGAATATCAACACCAACTGTTACTAAATGCTTAGGCAGCATAAGGTGGGTAAACGGGTGGGGGAGGATAAGGAGGGAAAACAGGTGGAGGAGGATATTGATAGAAAGGTGGATAGTACGGAATCCAATGAAAAGCACGAACAGGTACAACATCACGAGTACTATTGTAAAACTGTTAGTCAATGATACACATGATAAATATACATATTTACTTACGCCAAGACACGATTGTTCTCTTGAGCAGAGATGGGATTTTCAGCAGCATTGACAGAATCCTCTTTAACAGGTGCAGCCCAAACTTGGAGAAGCGCAAAGATACAGATGAACAACATGACAACGGGAGTAGAGAAGGATTTCATGGTAAAAAGTGCAGATATTTAATAGTTTATTGTGAGATCCAAATTCCTCCTCTTTTATATGTGCCTTTAGAATAAACCATTTAAGAGTTTCTCACCACTCGTTTATCATAGTGTTTATTATTTGAATACTTTATCTTAATAGAGTGCATCTGCTTTTAGGTGGTACCTAAAAAAAATTTAAGCAGAGACAAATTTTTAGATGGGTAAAACACATTTTCTTTATAATTAATATCCCATCTGAAAGGTTAGGATTGTTTTTTATGTTGATTAGAATGAGAATCTACATATATTAAATTAAAAAACATAACAGATTCTGGATTCAACATTTTTTTTTTAGGTGGGGGCGGGGAAAAAATGTCACAACCTGTACAAAAAGGTTTTAGAGCCAATAATAACCTGCCGCTAATATCATTAGCCGTGGTCGGATTTTGAAATAACCCACTGTTTGTGCTCACGATTTAAAAAACCGCGCACAGACTATATAATCGTTAGCAATGGCTTGAAATAACTTCAACCTTTTTTGTGTACTTAGTAGAACTACTTGAATTTTAAAATATACATTAAAACAAATATTCTTAAGATGCGTGACCCTTTTTAAAAATAATTTATCTATTGAAAGGTTCGAAATATTGATTTGAAGTTGTTTAGAGACAGCCTATGAAATCGCAGCCGGAGGCTTAATATCACAAACCCTGAAAAAGGATAAAAAAGTTTAAACCTTTTTTATGTACTAAGTAGAACCACTTGTAATTTTGAATATATATTATAAAGTATATTCTTAAGATGCGTGACCCTTTTTAAAATTAATGTATCAATTGAAAGGCTTGAAATATTGATCTGAAGTTGTTTTAGAGACGGCCTATGAAATCACAGCCGGAGGCTCAATATCACCAACTTTGAAAAAGGGTAAGAAAGTTTAAACATTTTTTATGTACTAAGTAGAACAACTTGTAATTTAGAATACATATTATAAACTTTATTCTTAAGATACGTGACCCTTTTTAAAATTAATATATTTATTGAAAGGCTTGAAATATTGATCTGAAGTTGCTCAAAGCCGGCCTATGAAATCCCAGCCGGAGGCTCAATATTACTTACACTGAAAAGAAGATAAAAAAGTTTAAACCTTTTTTATGTACTAAGTAGAATTATTTGTAATTTAGAATATATATTATGAACTTTATTCTTAAGATGCGTGACCCTTTTTAAAAATAATTTATCTAGTGAAAGGTTCGAAATATTGATCTGAAGTTGTTAAGAGACGGCCTATGAAATCATAGCCGGAGGCTCAATGTCATCAACCCTGAAAAAGGGTAAAAAAGTTTAAACATTTTTTATGTACTAAGTAGAACCACTTGTAATTTAAAATATATATTATAAAGTATATTCTTAAGATGCGTGACCCTTTTTAAAATTAGTATATCTATTGAAAGGCTTGAAATATTGATTTGAAGTTGTTTAGAGACAGCCTATGAAATCGCAGCCGGAGGCTCAATATCATCAACCTTGAAAAAGGGTAAAAAAGTTTAAACCTTTTTTATGTAATAAGTGGAATTACTTGTAATTTAGAATATATATATTAAAGTATACTCTTAAGATGCGTGACCCTTTTTAAAAATAATTTATGTATTGAAAGGCTTGAAATATTGATCTGAAGCTGTTTAGAGCCGGCCTATGAAATCGCAGCCGGTGGCCCAATATTACTTCCACTGAAAAATTTTCTTCAAAAAAAAAAAAAAAATCCCCCCCCACATAAAAAAAATCTGGCTATGAATAAATTTCCTTTTATATTACTTGTACTAGTCGGAGATGAATGCTCAAAAATGTCACAAAACACGTTAGGAACTACTGAAAAGCAGATGCACTCTATGGTTGCAATGGCGTTACTATGCAATGAACACGTCTCCCTTTCGAAGCTTTGAAGTCAAATCGATCAAAAGTTTTACTCCGTATTTCAGGAGTGATATTTAGGCTCCAGGAAGTATTATCTATCAGTCTCTTTCAAATTTCATTTGCGTTTAATCAATAATACATTGGTACTCAATTATTCAGAAGCTAAGGCGTTTTCTAGTATCCAAACATATGCGAATACAAAACTTGATAAGCTTAATCCGACTTATTACAAACAAGCATAATATATGATTTGAATCACTGAACACTCAAAAAAAAAAAACCTTAATTTGTAATTGTATCATTGATGGATGACTTTGAATAGCTATAAATAAAAAAAGGTGTTCGAGCTTGGGGGATGTAGTGCGCATATGGATCCTTTATTAACGTCATGCTGTGTGAATAACAACCCCTTTTATTTATGCACTGCTTTACATGGCGGAAAAAAAGACAAGCACTTAATGAATCAATAGTAAGCAAGTTTGAAATTGCTTATAGCTTTCCCATAATATTTACAACCTATCATCTCGTCAATAATCCTCTGTGTAAAAGGATCATTTTCTGTTCTGGTCGATTTGTGGTGGAAGGAGTGTTAAAACTTAATGTGACTGCCGCACCCCTTCCTGTCACAATAAAAAAAAAAAAAAAAAAAAAAAAAGCTGTCAATGGTAGTTTTTTATTACATGGAGACATGATGAACATTAACTTGTATAGAAGAAGACGTTTAAGGTCGACACAAGCCATTCTTACCCGAGTTCAAATTCGAGATTTGGGACGAAAAATTGGCTACACTTCATTTCGGCAATCCGTTGAGTTTCTCATGGTAGACCGAAATATCGAATTATGTGCGTGTGTGTGTGTGTTAAGCTGACTCGTCGTGAAATAGGACCCTTTAAATTACTTTAAATTGAGCAAGATAAAAATGGCAGATATCCACCAATATCTTTTAGAACAAGGGATCACACAAGAAAAATGCCCTAGTACGCATATTCGACAAGGAGATCATAGTCGTCTCTTGATCTCTATTTTATTCCCTGGTTATCCCATTATTAAAGCCAGTGAACATCATTACCGAGACTTGAGAGAAAAGTGAGTTCCTTTTTTTTTTTATTATTATTTGTATACACGAATCCCGATCCCCACTTACACACAAAATAGCCGCTCGTTGCAGGCCAAAGTGACAGATTTAGCTTATGATCAATTACCTACCACCGATAAATTCGAACGTTTAGAAGAACTCTTTAAATCTAGTGTTGATTGGCACCAACGTCAGCAAGATGAATACACCATTGATATTCCGTTAAAAAAACTTAACAGATCGATTGTAGTGGAAGGTCATGCTTCTTCTAAACTCAATGTGCGACTCTTTTTGTACCTCTGGTCCTCTGAACATATGGCATGGAAGCCACAGGCACTCTCTCTTTCTGTCGATGGAAAAGAATGCATAACCGATGACCAAAGAAAGATTAATGACTACGGGTTTAGTCATATCGATATTACCGATGCTTCCGACTCCATCCTCAAGGCCAATCGTCGAAGTACCTCCTCGATATCCTTTGTCTTCAAGTTTGAAAAAAGGCCAACCACTCATCATGTTTCCGTGTGTGCAGTGGTTGAGAAATCACCTGAGGAATTATGCAGCCAATTGTATTTACAGACTGCTTCCTTGTATATTGGACAAGCCATGGAGAGTTCCAGTAAAAATATTCCTGCTGCTCAAAGTGTCCAGAAAAAAGTAGTGGAGCTTTTGAACCCACTGAACCAAAATGATAGATTGGAATTAGATAAAACCGAGAAGCTCCTTCTTTCTTGTGCTGAGAGTTTCTTGACTGCTTGGAATAGTAAGTTTTGTTTGGGGGGGAGATGATACTGTCTGTATAAACTTACACGGTTGAATTAGATCCTGAACCAGAAGATGACGATAATGTAGAAGTGTACACAGGCGGAGAATATGTCTCGGTATCCGATCCCATCATGCTGACACGTATTGAACATCCTGCAAGATGCATCTTTTGTACACATAATACCACATTTGACGCCAAGGTATTTTTTAAATTCCAGGTCACTTCCATGAATTGGAGGTGTCCCATTTGTCTTGTCAAGATCCGCGGTATCCAAGTAAGATTGTGTGTAAATGTAGGCGTGTTTTATGTGTTTAATCGTCTTGTATTTGTAGGATCTCTACATTGACTATCAAACAAAAGTGGCCTTACAAAAATATCCAGATGAGGAAAGGTTCTTGTTGGAAAAGGATGAGGTGTATTTACCTATTCCTGCACTAGATCCATTACCCATTGTGAATGATATCCCAAAAAAGAGAGATCCTGTTGAAATTATCTCTATTCACGATGATGAAGAACAAGCAGCTCCTAAACGACAAAAAACCAATATAGATGAATTGTAATAAATAGAATATTGTATCACACCTGAAATCCGTGCTCATGCATATATAATAATCGTATCAGCGAGGGTCATCCAGCTCAGTTCATTTTATTTTCATGCACGGACGCATGAATGTATTAACAGGTGCCAGTCGAAACAAAAGGGATGGATACTTTGGCTTGAATAATGAAAGAGACAATTACCTCCCGGAAGGTCATCTTTCAGCGTATCAACCGCATCCATTAAAATCGTGGTGGCGGTGATCTAAATTCAAGTACTAATGATAAAGCAAGAGATCATCAAACTCTTGTATGATCAATATGGGTAATTAGGTTTTTCGATATCTAGGCAACTAAAGCAATTCCCCACTTCAAATCTCTTGCTTGGCTATCAGATATAGCATAGTTTTTTTTTTTTTATTTTTTTTTTATTTTTTCAGTGGTAGTTGGTTTCATTTTTACATTTAGAATGAAAAGGTAGAAAACGTATTTATGTCAAAATTATTTTATTTTGAGAGCTGTGGTTTTGGTCTGCTCTTTTTTTTTTTTTTTTCTTCCAAAGAACGATTCTTAATTTACATTACGCTTCCTCTTGAGTAGCATTTAACTAGCCCCGATATGAAACCTACTTTGACTTTTGCTTAATTGCCAATTGTCGAAATGGGGGCCAAAGATCATTTAATAGATCCTGAGTTAGTTTGTATCTTGCTCTAATTCTCAAGTCTTTATAGGCTAGTTAGTTATGGAGTCGTAGGCTCTCAGAGCAGATATCAACCCTTTTTTTCTTTTTTGAGGCACATTGGTGTCTTGGTAATATTCTTGTATAAATAATGTTTATTACATTGCGTATATTCAACTAACTTTTCGCGAGCGTCTTTTTGTTTAGGAACGAATAGAATAGTTTGGTAAAGTTCTTATTTCTACCATCGTCATGTCACATTATATGAATGTATATGGAATAAATCTCTTTGTTTTAACATCTATTTCGCCTATCGCAGCTTATACTCGTATTCTCAGATACTCAAAGTGAGAACAAGGGGCTGTTTATACTCTGATAAATAATTTGGGTATGGACAAGATATTGCTAGAACACTTCAAATTTTTGATCACAATACTACTTCTCTCATTGAATACTTACATAACAAAAATTAAGAAAGAGATACAACATATTACCCCCTTCCAACCATAAAGCAAAACATTTGAAGCAATAATAATTTTTTTATTCTTACCAATAACCCCGAAACAGTTGACGTGAGTGGTGTGTGTGTGTGTGTGTGTGTGTGTGTGTGTGTGTGTGTGTGTGTGTGTGTGTGTGTGTGTGTGTGTGTGTGTGTGTGTGTGTGTGTGTGTGTGTGTGTGTGTGTGTGTGTGTGTGTGTGTGTGTGTGTGTGTGTGTGTGTGTGTGTGTGTTACCACGAGGACTTGCCCTTTCCTTTGGCTTTCTTTACGTTTTGGCGGCCAATATCGGTGTCTTCACGCTTTCGCTTTTCCTCATTAAATTCTTTTATGCGATCGCCCCAATGCTGTTCGTAATTGTCGTCTTTAAAGCTGTCATCCTCAGCATTTACAGTTTCAGACTTGTACTCTTGATCGAAGCCACCCAAGAACAAAATATCCTGCCATCTTTCTGCAGCTTCAAAGCAATGATTGGTAGACACTTTTCCAAAGTCAGACCTAATCGTAACGTTGTTTTTCTTAAGGACTTGATCAGCCTCGGGAAGGAGCAAGGCAAGCTCTTGCTTATCCTTTTCTGAAAAAGCAGCCAGCCATTCCGGGATCAATTGCTACAATTAAAAAAGATTTGTTACGATTCGAACTTTTTTTTTTTCTTTGGATATAAATTAAACTTACCCTAAAGTCTGCTTGGACCAAATTGCTGTCCTTGCTTTGCAATAGTCGTTTAAGCTTATTGTCTTGATTATCGGATGCCTTTTGAGTTTGGACAGGCTTGGAAGTTTCGATTTTCGATCTTGCAACAACAGCCTTTGCTGGTTTTAAAGAGCTTGCCGATGCTTCTTTAGTCTTCGAAATTATTTTCTTCCCACGCTTCTTCCTTGGCGCATCCTCCTCGATTTCATCCAGATCGTGATCCTTGTAGGAGACAGATGTTGTAGCCGCTCTTTTCTTTCTGCCACTAGCCAAAGTCTCAAAGGCGGGCTGATCATCCTTACTGGGTAAATACTCATCATTAGCATCGCGTCGAGAATGACCAACAGAAACGTCCTTGCCAAAAGCTTGCTTATCTGCTAGACGTTTCGATTTCTTGATCGTGGGAGTATTATATGACTCTCCAGATTCAGTAGCCTTGGTTATCTTCTTTTTTATTGCTGATTTTGATGCCTTTGACACGCCTTCAAGATTGGATTTTGTCGTGGGTTTTCTACCCCTGCGGCCCTTCTCTCGCACAGGTAATTCCACAGGTACTTCCACAGAAACTTCTACAGGTAATTCCACGGGTACTTCTACAGGTACTTCCACGGGTACTTCCACGGGTACTTCCACGGGTACTTCCACGGGTACTTCCACGGGTACTTCCCCGGGTACTTCGGCAATAGGTGCTACAGTGGGTTCTACAGTGGGTTCTACAGTTGGTTCTACAGTGGGAGCTACAGTGGGAGCTACAGTGGGAGCTACAGTGGGAGCTACAGTGGGAGCTACAATGGGAGCTACAATGGGAGCTACAGTGGGAGCTACAGTGGGAGCTACAATGGGAGCTACAATGGGAGCTACAGTGGGTGCTTCACCAGGTGATTGGCCGGGGTTGTACACAGGATTTTCAGAAGGAATTGCAGTGACCTGTTTGATGGCAAGGCTTTCGACAGTAGGATTACCGGTAGCTTTTTCGGTAGCAGACTTAACATCAATATCACCAGCAGCAGACTTGGCATAGATCTTATCAGCATCAATCACAACATTCTTTTTGGAAGGCGATTCGGCAGACACACGATCAACCAGATCGAGAGACGCTTCAGAGACCTGTTTAACAGGCTCAGTTATGGTAGTTTTTCCTGGGATACTAAACTCCATATCCATAAGGAGAGATGCAGCATGGCTAGATGAGACCTTCTTTTTTCTTGCTTTGGCAGGTGCGGGAAGCTTAAAAGGATTTCTGCTTGGAGTTGGAGACGGTTCAGAACATGACACAGGATCTAACACCTTTTGAACGGGTAGTTCATTAGGAGAAAATGCATTGAATTTCGCTTGAGAAGTGGATGGAGTTCCAAATTTAGGAAGCAAACCGGGCTTAGATCGAGAAACCAAATCAGGTTGAAGATGAGTTAATACCCCAGGTTTAGGATTAATCAGGTTTGGACGAGGGAAAAGACCAAGCGGTGGAAATCCTAATCGTGCAGGCATGAATGTGGATGATGCCAATTGAGAAACTGATGGGAGCTCAAGAGGTGGATTTACCAGTTGATTACTTGATCGAGGCTCCTTTTGGCTATGTGTTGGATGTTCCAGTTGATTATGGGATGTGCGTTCTGTTCCTGTAGTTGAAGATAAAGCAATACGATCCGAAGTGGGGTATACAAATTTGACATGATCATCCTCGATGGGAGATTGAAGCCCAGTAACGGTTCTGTGCACAGGCGAATAAAATCTTTGGCTGCATGAATCTGGTTCCATGTGTGTTTGAATTGGTGATTCAGGCTCCACTTTTATTACAGGAGGAGGCGAATCTAAAGGCTGAATGCGGCTTGGTTGAGCTGATGCTGCTGGTTCAGGCTCGATGGTTGATTCAGGCTCGAGTTTGACTTGAATAACTGGATCCTGTGGTTGATTGGAAGCTTCAGACTCGCATGGAGCGTGTGATTTAATTGGGGTATTAATGCCTTCATCAGTAGTTTGAGTTTGGCCGGTTATTTCTGAATAACGGCTGCCATGTGATGGCAAAGTGACAGATTCTTTTTGTAAAATGAAGACTTAATCAACTGCGTCTGTTTTTTGCATGGGAACGTAAAAAAAGAAAGAAAAAAGAAAAGGAAGAAAAGGAAGAAAAAAAAAAGAAAGAAAAAAAAAAAAAAAAAAAAAAAAAAAAAACTTACCTTTGAAGTTGCTAGTAGGAGTAGACATACTTGTTTTTTATCCACAATAAAACTGCGTGAAGAAGAAGAAGAAGACGAAGAAGAAGAAGAAAAAAGGGAAGGGCTTTTATAAATCACAAGTAAAAAAAAGTTCCATGTCATAATTTTTTTTTTTTTTTTTTTTTTTTTTTTGTATGGGAAAATCATGCATATTGCTTAATTCAAGCATCGTCTGGATGCATACTGCAGGTCATAAAATGTATTCATCTTTTAAAAAACTGGACTGTATCCCTTAATAATTCATATGGATCAATAGAAAATTCATCAGTAGCATTCATTTCGACACTTGTGAACATGATCTTTCCTTGATGAATTTGTTTACTTTTGATGATCTACATCTATTTTTTACGCCAATCTCAAGATGTGACTTTGATAAGATATACTTTTGGTATAAACATTAACGTCATAGTGATATCTTTTAATTTTCCCCTACCAATCTATTTAGTGACCAATGATACCACCTCCATCTGTTTATATTATCTGCTTATGCGCCTTTTTTCAAACCAAAGCTCTTACAAAAAACGCGTTAAAGAATGTGTTCTGAAGACATCATTTTTTTTACTATATATTTCGTAATAAATAGTTGGAGACCGTTCATGTGCATGATCGTTCTAGAAACATCCACTACTACTTTTTACTGCGAAAAAAGATCTACTACTTGATTAGGCTAAATTAAATTTCAGCCTGTCAGAAATAAACCTTATATTACATAAATCGCTCTATATGATTTCAGGTATTTTTTTATCGCGAATATACACTGCTTTTTTTATACTCGTCTGTGTACTCGAATATCTAAGCTTATTTTAAAAGGGAATCATTTCATTAATAATAATGGATGTTTTTACTACGTTGATTGTGTGTATCTCCGCTTAATTTGAAGTTAAGTTTTTTACAGGTTTTTTTCCTGAATTGTACATTCTTTCACTGTTGCATATGTATTAAAGATTGAGAAAAAAACTGGTTTGAGGAATCAGTTATAGCTGGCTCTTAGAGCCAATGAAACGATTTCGTCCAAAAATTGCATCCCCATGAATGGATGGATATGCAAAGTCAATCTGTTACAGCCTTACTTCATTTAGAAATCTACTTTGAAGATGAATTTGTGGCAAGATTGAACCGCCACAGTAAGTGAAGTCAAATCTTAAGCGCAATAGCTTCTCCCATCTTAAAAAACAGCGGCATGCATACTTCACCTCATGCTGATGGGTGAACAGGGGAGAAGGAAATACTTGTTCCATATATAGTTATCCTAAAGAACTTTTAGCTTTTTTTCTTCTCAATACCATTATTTTAATCATTAAAATCAATGATAATAAAAAAAAACGCTTATTATTCATATGATTTAAACAAGAAATATTTTATTCTATCGATTCAATAACAATAACTTGAGTCTCAGTGAATACCATGGGTGTATCATCCAGCAGTAGCTGAGCGCCAATAACATCCACATTGTTATCGGGTTCAAATGTAGGCTTTTTAATCGTCACAAACAATATTGTTCCTCATGTGATGATTAGGCTGCGTTTTTGGAAATAGAAAAGTCCATAAATTATTTAGGTAGGACACCGATAATACCTTTAGAAGATGACGTTGAAACTTCTACATTTTAATACTCTTCAATTAACTTTTAATAAAAAGACCTAATTTGTTTCTTACTCACTTTGACCTAATATCAAATCTCTATGATATAACTGAATAGCCCACACTTCTTCGGGTATGGTACAACAACCACTTCCTAATATGTTTTTGTCTTTCCTAAAAGATAGTTCTATTCCAGTTAAAAACTTATATATATTTACAGTAACAATATGTCGGAATGCTGATAGAATGATGATGATAGAAAATAAAAATAAAAACAAAAAATCATAATAGCAATTATAGACGCAATCATTCTATATGATGGGTATGTATTTTCGAAGAGCAGGATGATACTATCCATTTCCTGTTTTTTCAGATCCAAAGGAATCTTCTGTGGTAAGCTCGTTATTATCAGTGTAATATCCGATGTCTAAGAGACAATAATTTCAATCAAATATAAGATAATCCTTTATTAAATGCTTAATTTGCTCTTGTATATATATTATATGTTCATGTTTGTTAAGTCCGTGATTCGTATTTGTTGTATCGGTGATTATTATTTGTTCCGTATTTACATTAGAGTAGTTGTTATTATGGTGAGATAGTCTTGTGATACACCAATCAGTAACTGAAGGGGAGTGAGAAGCAATGATACTATCTTCAATTGAAGTATCTGAACTGGTTTCCAACAGTTGAAGATTGTAGTGTGGAAATATACTATTTTTCTGTACCTTTCTTGGAGGAGTATACCACGTTCAAGACAAAGGCTATTGCATGATGCGAGGCGGAGATGCCAGGCCTGGGTGGGTTACCACGACGAGTATCTAAGGGCTTGCCCTTTCCTTTAGCTTTCTTTACGTTCGGGCGGCCAACATCGGTCTCTTCACGCTTTCGTTTTTCCTCATTAAATTCTTTAATACGATCACCCCAATGCTGTTCATAATTGTCGTCTTTAAAGCTGTCATCCTCAACACTGACAGTTGCAGGCTTGTATTCTGGATCGAAGCCACCCAAGAATAAGATGTCCTGCCACTTTTCGGCAGCTTCGTAACAATGATTTGTAGCCACTTGTCCAAAGTCTGATCTAATTGTAACCTTCTTGTTCTTGATGACTTGGTCAGGCTCAAGAAGAAGTAAGGCAAGCTATTGCTTATCCTTTTCGTTTAAAGCAGCCAAACATTCTGGGATCAACTGCTACAATTAAAAAGGTTTGTTACGATTCGAGCTTTTTCTTTTTCTTTGGATATAAATTAAACTTACCCCGAAGTCTGCTTGGATTAAATTACTGTCCTTGCTTTGCAACAATCGCTTAAGCTTATTATCTTGAATATCGGATGACTTTGGAGTTTGGACAGGCTTGGATGTTTCGACTTGTGCAATCGCCGTCTCTTCAACTTCATCATCCGTGTCAATGTAAACTGCTTTCATCGGACCGTTTTTTTCTACTTCTTTGGCTTTACCAGGAGATCGCTTGGCTCTTGTAATGACAGCCTTTGCTGATTTTGAAGAGCTTGCCGATGCTTCTTTAGTCTTCGGAGTTAATTTCTTCCCGCGCTTCTTTCTTGGCGTATCCTCCTCAATTTCATCCAGATCATAATCCTTGTAGGAGACAGAGGTTGTAGCGGTTCTTTTCTTCCTGCCACTATCCAAAGTCACAAAGGCGGGTTGATCATCCTTATCAGGTACATACTCATCATTAGTATCACTTGAAATTTGTTGTGAAGATTCTGCTGCGATGGCCTTGAGAAAAGCTTGCTTATCCGCTAGACGTTTTGATTTTTTGATAGTGGGAGTATTAGATGACTCGCCAGATCCAGTAGCCTTAAATAGCTTCTGTGCTAAAACCACATAATAGATGCTACTGCTTACAAAAGGAAAGATGTTTCACGGATAAAAGATCGGGAATAAGTAACCCGGCTTCATGGAAATTTTTCATTACAACACAACTCTAGGCTCCGACCAATGAGAGATCAGAGAATTTAAGGAACAATAATAAATAAAGGACAGCTATCTTACGATCTTCAATAAACCAAATGAATGGTCCATCATATAAAACTACGATGGATCGGAGCTGTCAAAAATACAAGCCACAATATCTTCAATCTTCTATAAATATCAGGGCAAACCTGCCTGTCTAGTTAGCTCTTAATCAATTTTTATACAAATAAATCGACAAGACTTATAATTGTATTCTCTTTGTTTTTTTACCTACTTTTTTCTGTAAAACTATTCTCTCTTAAAGTCTATTTTTACTGCACCTTCTTTTTTAAGACTGATTTTGATGCCTTTACCACGCCTTCAGGATTGGATTCTGCCTTGGGTTTTCTAACCTGTGGTTTTTCTCTCGCACAGGTACTCTAGGTACCTCGGTAGATACGCCAGCAGGATTATGCTCAGACTGAGCGGCGGGATTTGGCTCAGTAGCTGGCTCATAACCACTGTGTATTACCGGTTGTGGAGAGCCGCGAAGAGCTGGTCTAAGATTAACCGGGCGAAGAGCTTGAGGTCAACGAATTCTAAAAGGTTCAGTCGGGCGAAGTGCTTGAGGCCGATGCATTCGGAAAGGTTCAGTACATGCTACAGATTTTAATACCTTTTGAACAGGCAGTTCATTGTGTGAGGATGCATTGAATCTATACTGAGACGTGGATGGGAATCCAAAGGTAGAAACCAAAGCGGGGTTAGAGCGACAAACCAAATCAGGCTGACGATAAGTGAATAGCCCAGGTTTGGGATTAATGAGGGGTAGACGAGGATGAAGACCAAGCGGTAGAGATCCTACTCGTGCAGGCAGGAAGATGGAAGAGGTCAATTGAGCAAATGATGGGAGCTTAAGAGGTGTATGCCCCGGTTGATGAAGTGATGGAAGCTCCATTTGGCTATTTGGTGGATGTTCCATGTCGTTACGACCAAAGTCTATTATATGAAATGAAGATTTAATCAACCGCGCCTGGTTTTTGCATGGGAATGTAAAAAAAGAAAAAAAGAAAAAAAAAAAAAAAAAAAAAAAAAAAAAAAACTTACCTTTCAAGTTTGTATTAGGAGTAAACATACTTGTTTTTTGTCCACAATAAAACTGCATGAAGAAAAATAAGAACAAGAAAAAAAAAGGGAAGGGTATTTATAAATCACATGTAAAAAAAAAGTTCCATGTCATAATTTTTTTTTTTTTTTTTTTTTTGTATGGGAAAATCATGCATATTGCTTAAATCAAGCATCGTCTGGATGCATACTGCAGGTCATAAAATGTATTCATCCTTTACAAAACTTGAATGTATCCCTTGATAATTCATATGGATCAATAGAAAATTCATCAGCAGTATTCATTTGGACACTTGTGAACAAGAGCTTTCCTTGATGAATTTGTTTACTTTTGATGATCTACATCTATTTTTTTACGCCAATCTCAAGATATGACTTTGATAAGATATACTTTTGGTATAAGCATTAACGTCATAGTGATATCTTTTAATTTTCCCCTACCAATCTATTTAGTGACCAATGATGCTACCTCCATCTGTTTATATTGTCTGCTTATGCGCCTTTTTTCAAACCAAAGCTCTTACAAAAAACGCGTTAAAGAATGTGTTCTGAAGACATCATTTTTTTTACTATATATTCTGTAATAAATAGTGGGAGACCGTTCATGTGCATGATCGTTCTAGAAACATCCACTACTACTTTTTACTGCGAAAAAAGATCTACTACTTGATTAGGTTAAATTAAATGTCAGCCTGTCAGAAATAAACCTTATATTACACAAATCGCTCACTATATGATTTCTGGTATTTTTTTTATCGCGAATATACACTGCTTTTTGTATACTCGTCTGTATACTCGAATATCTAAACTTATTTTAAAAGGGGATCATTTCATTAATGATAATGGATCTTTTTACAGGATTGATTGTGGGTATCTCCGCTTAATTTGCAGTTAAGTTTTTTACCGGTCTTTTTTTTTCTTGTTAATTATTCATTTTTCACTGTTGCATATGTATTAAAGATTGAGAAAAAAAAACTGGTGTGAGGAATCAGTTATAGCTGGCGCTTAGAGCCAATGAAAGGATTTCGTCCAAAAATTGCATCCCCATGAATGGGTGGATATGCAAAGTTATCAGTCGTATACTCAGATACTCAAAGTGTAAACACGGGGCTGTTTATACTCTGATAAATAATTTGGTTATGGACAAGATATTGCTAGAACACTTCAAATTTTTGAACACAATACTACTTCTCTCATTGAATGCTTACATAACAAAAACTAAGAAAGAGATACATATTACCCCCGTCCAACCATAAAGCAATACATTTGAAGCAATAATAATTTTTTTTATTTTTATTAATAACCCGAAATAGTTAACCTGAGTGGTGTGTGTGTGTGTGTGTGTGTGTGTGTGTGTGTGTGTGTGTGTGTGTGTGTGTGTGTGTGTGTGTGTGTGTGTGTGTGTGTGTGTGAGTGTGTGTGAGTGTGTGTGAGTGTTTTTACTTGGGTGGGTCACCACGACGAGTATCCGAGGACTTGCCCTTTCCTTTGACTTTCTTTACCTTCGGGCGGCCAACATCGGTTTTCTCACGCTTCTTCCTTGGCGCATCCTTCTCAATTTCATTCAAACCGTAATCCTTGTAGGTGACAGAGGTTTCAGCGGCTCTTTTCTTCCTACCACTATTCAAAGTCTTAAAAGCGGGCTGACCATCCTTATGGAGCGCATGCTCATCATTAGCATCACGTGAAACTTGATTTGAAGATTCAGCCTTTTGAAGAGACGCGTCCTGTTGCAGCAATTCAAATTGTGAAGAACGTTCTTGTACCAGTCGAATGGACATAGCAGCCGCTTGTCTATCTTCCTCTTCAGTGATGGCCTTAAGGAAAGCTTGCTTTTCCGCTAGACGCTTTGACTTCCTAATCGTGGGAGTGTTGGATGACTCACCAGATTTAGTTGCCTTGGATACCTTCTTTTTTATTGCCGATTTGGATGCCTTTGCCACGGCTTCAGGATTTGATTTTGCCTTTGGTTTTCTACCCCTGCGGTTCTTGTCTGGCACAGGTACTCTAGGTACCTCGGTAGATACACCAACAGGATTATGCTCAGAATGAGCGGCTGTATCTGGCTCAGTAGCTGGCTCATAACCACTGTCTACCACCGGTTGTGGAGAGCCGCGAAGAGTGGGTTTACGATTGACCGGGCGAAGAGCGTAAGGTCGACGAATTTGAAAAGGTTCAATCGGGCGAAGAGCTTGAGGCCGATGAATTTGGAATGGTTCAATTGGGCGAAGTGCTTGAGGCCGATGAACTCGGAAAGGCTCGGTGCATGCTTCAGGTTTTAATACCTTTTCAACAGGTAGTTCAGTGTGAGAAGATGCAGGGAATTCAGATCGGGAAGTGGATAGAATTCCAAAGCTAGGAACCAAACCGGGCTTAGAGAGAGAAACCAAATCAGGTTGACGATGAGTGAATAGCCCTGGTTTAGGACTAATGAGGGTTGGACGAGGAAAAAGACCAAGCGGTGGAAATCCTACTCGTGTAGGCATACAAGTGGATGCAGCCAATTCAGCAAATGATGGGAGCTTACAAGGTGTATGTCCCGGTGGATTGAGTGATGGAAGAACCATTTGGCTACTTGCTGGATGTTCCATGTTGTTACAAATAAAGTCTATTATATGAAATAAAAAATTAATCAACCGCGCCTGGTTTTTGCATGGGAACGTAAAAAAAAGAAAAAAAACAAAAAAAAAAAAAAAAACTTACCTTTCAAGTTTCTGGTAGGAGTAGACATACTGTTTTTTTCCACAATAAAACTGCGCGAAGAAGAAGAAGAAGACGAAGAAGAAGAAGAAAAAAGGGAAGGGTATTTATAAAGCACAAGCAAAAAAAAAAGTTTTATGTAATAATTGTTTTTTTTTTTTTTTTTTTTTTTTTGTATGGGAAAATCATGCATATTGCTTAAATCAAGCATCGTCTGGATGCATACTGCAGGTCATAAAATGTATCCATCCTTCACTAAACTTGAATGTATCTCTTAATAATTCATATGGATCAATAGAAAATTCATAAGTAGCATTCATTTGGACACTTGTGAACAAGATCTTTCCTTGATGAATTTGTTTACTATTGATGATCTACATCTATTTTTTTACGCCAATCTCAAGATGTGACCTTGATAAGATATACTTTTGGTATAAATATTAACGTCATAATGATATCTTTTAATTTTCCCCTACCAATCTATGTAGTGACCAATGATGCTACCTCCATCAGTTTATATTGTCTGTTAATGCGCCTTTTTTCAGACCAAAGCTCTGATAACAAACGCGTTAAAGGATGTGTTCTGAAGATATCATTGTTTTTACTGTATATTTTGTAATAAATAATGGGAGACGCTCATGTGCATGATCGTTCTAGAAACATCCACTACTACTTTTTACTGCGAAAAAAGATCTACTACTTGATTAGGCTAAATTAAATTTCAGCCTGTCAGAAATAAACCTTATATTACACAAATCGCTCTATATGATTTCAGGTATTTTTTTTTATCGCGAATATACACTGCTTTTTGTATACTCGTCTGTATACTCGAATATCTAAACTTATTTTAAAAGGGGATCATTTCATTAATGATAATGGATCTTTTTACTGCATTGATTGTGGGTATCTCCGCTTAATTTGCAGTTAAGTTTTTTACCGGTCTTTTTTTTTCTTGTTAATTATTCATTTTTCACTGTTGCATATGTATTAAAGATTGAGAAAAAAAACTGGTGTGAGGAATCAGTTATAGCTGGCGCTTAGAGCCAATGAAACGATTTCGTCCAAAAATTGCATCCCGATGAATGGGTGGATATGCAAAGTTATCAGTCGTATACTCAGATATTCAAAGTGTAAACAAGAAGCTGTTTATACTCCGATAAATAATTTGGTTATGGACAAGATATTGCTAGAACACTTCAAATTTTTGAACACAATACTACTTCTCTCATTGAATACTTAAATAAAAAAAAACTAAGAAAGAGATACATATTACCCCCGTCCAACCATAAAGCAATACATTTGAAGCAATAATAATTTTTTTTATTTTTATTAATAACCCGAAAGAGTTAACCTGAGTGGGGGTGTGTGTGTGTGTGGTGTGTATGTAAGTGTGTGTGTGTGTGTATGTAAGTGTGTGTGTGTGTGTGTGTGTGTGTGTGTGTGTGTGTGTGTGTGTGTGTGTGTGTGTGTGTGTGTGTGTGTGTGTGTGTGTGTGTGTGTGTGTGTGTGTGTGTGTGTGTGTGTGTGTGTGTGTGTGTGTGTGTGTGTGTGTGTGTGTGTGTGTGTGTGTGTGTGTGTGTGTGTGTGTGTGTGTGTGTGTGTGTGTGTGTGTGTGTGTGTGTGTGTGTGTGTGTGTGTGTGTGTGTTTACTTGGGCGGGTTACCACGACGAGTATGCGAGGGCTTGCCCTTTCCTTTGACTCTCTTTACGTTCGGGCGTCCAACATCGGTCTTCTCACGCTTCTTCCTTGGCGCCTCCTCTTCAATTTCATTCAAATCGTAATCCTTGTGAGAGACAGAGGTATCAGCGGCTCTTTTCTTCCTACCACTAGTCAAATACTTAAAAGCGGGCTGACCATCCTTATGGGGCGCATTCCCATCATTAGCATCACGTGAAATTTGATGTGATGATTCTGCCTTTTGAAAGGACGCATCCTGTTGCAACAATTTAAATTGGGCAGAAGGTTGGTCTGTTTGGATGGGTCTTATTTCTTCTACATGGCCCGCTTGTTCAGTGAAATCGGCTCGGAATTTTTGAGCAATCTCAAGATTCGCTTCCATAGCAATGCGTTCTTGCACCAGTCGAATGGACATCGCAGCCGCTTGTCTCTCTTCCTCTTCGGCAACGGCCTTACGAAAAGCTTGCTTTTCCGCTAGGCGTTTTGACTTCCTGATCGTGGGAGTATTGCATGACTCTCCAGATTCAGTAGCCTTGATTATCTTCTTTTTTATTGCTGATTTTGGTGCCTTTGCCACGCCTTCAGGATTGGATTTTGCTTTGGGTTTTCTACCCCTGCGGCTCTTCTCTCGCACAGGTACTCTGATAGGTACCTCGGTGGATACGGCAGCAGGATTATGCTCAGAATGAGCGGCGGGATTTGGCTCAGTAACTGGCTCATTACCACTGTGTACCACCGGTTGTGGAGAGCCGCGAAGAGTTGGTTTAAGATTGACCGGGCGAAGAGCTTGAGGTCGACGAATTTGAAAAGATTCAATCGGGCGAAGTGCTTGAGGCCGATGAATTCGGAATGGTTCAATTGGGCGAAGTGCTTGAGGCCGATGAACTCGGAAAGGCTCGGTACATGCTTCAGGTTTTAATACTTTTTGAACAGGTAGTTCATTTTGAGAAGATGCACTGAATTCTGATTGGGAAGTGGATAGAATTCCAGAGTTAGGAATCAAACCGGGCTTAGAGCGAGAAACCAAATCAGGTTGACGATGAGTGAATAGCCCAGGTTTAGGACTAATGAGGGTTGGACGAGGGAAAAGACCAAGCGGTGGAAATCCTACTCGTGTAGGCATACAAGTGGATGCAGCCAATTCAGCAAATGATGGGAGCTTACAAGGTGTATGTCCCGGTGGATTGAGTGATGGAAGAACCATTTGGCTACTTGCTGGATGTTCCATGTTGTTACAAATAAAGTCTATTATATGAAATAAAAAATTAATCAACCGCGCCTGGTTTTTGCATGGGAACGTAAAAAAAAGAAAAAAAAAAAAAAAAAAAAAAAAAAAAAAAAAAAAAAAAAAAACTTACCTTTCAAGTTTCTGGCAGGAGTAGACATACTGTTTTTATCCACAATAAAACTGCGTGAAGAAGAAGAAAATGAAGAAAAAAAAGGGAAGGGTATTTATAAAGCACAAGCAAAAAAAAAAAGTTTTATGTAATAATTGTTTTTTTTTTTTTTTTTTTTTTTTTTTTTTTTGTATGGGAAAATCATGCAAATTGCTTAAATCAAGCATCGTCTGGATGCATACTGCAGGTCATAAAATGTATTCATCCTTTACAAAACCTGAATTTATCCCTTAATAATTTATATGGATCAATAGAAAATTCTTCAGTAGCATTCATTTCGACACTTGTGAACAAGATCTTTCCTTGATGAATTTGTTTACTTTTGATGATCTACATCTATTTTTTTACGCCAATCAGATGTGACTTTGATAAGATATACTTTTGGTATAAACATTAACGTCATAGTGATATCTTTTAATTTTCCCTTACCAATCTATTTAGTGACCAATGATGCTACCTCCATCTGTTTATATTGTCTGTTTATGCGCGTTTTTTCAGACCAAAGCTCTGATAACAAACGCGTTGAAGGATGTGTTCTGAAGACATCATTGTTTTTACTGTATATTTTGTAATAAATAATGGGAGACCGCTCATGTGCATGATCGTTCTAGAAACATCCACTACTACTTTTTACTGCGAAAAAAGATCTACTACTTGATTAGGCTAAATTAAATTTCAGCCTTTTAGAAATAAACCTTATATTACACAAATCGCTCTATATGATTTCAGGTATTTTTTTTATCGCGAGTATACACTGCTTTTTTGTATACTCGTTTGTATACTCGAACATCTAAGCTTTCCTTTAAAAGGGAATCGTTTCATTAATAATAATGGATGTTTTTACTACGTTGATTGTGCGTATCTCCGCTTAATTTGAAGTTAAGTTTTTTACGGGGTTTTTTTTCTTGTTAATTATACATTCTTTCACTGTTGCATTTGTATTAAAGATTGAAACAAACAGGCTTGGGAGATCAGTTATAGCTGCCACTTAAAGCCAATGAAACGATTTCGTCCAAAAATTGCATCCCCATGAATGGATGGATATGCAAAGTTAATCTGTTACAGCCTTACTTCATTTTGAAATCTACTTGAAGATGAATTCGTGGCAAGATTGAACCGCCACAGTAAGTGAAATTAAATCTTATGCGCAATAGCTGCTCCCATCTTAAAAAACAGCGGCAAGCATAATTCCTCTCATGCTGATGAGTGACCTGACTTACTAACAGGGGAGAAGGAAACACTTAATCCAAATATCGTAATCCTAAAGAACTTTTAGCTTTTTTTCTTCTCAATACCTTTATTTTAATAATTAAAAATCAATGATAATAAAAAAAAGACGCTTACTCTTCATATGATTTAAACAAGAAATATTTTATTCTATCAATTCATTAACAATAACTTGAGTCTCAGTAAGTAAAATAAGTGAACCATCTAGCAGTAGCTGAGCGCCAATAATATCCACATCGTTGTCAGGTTCAAATGTAGGCTTTTTAATCATCACAAACAATATTGTTCATCATGTGATGATTAGGCTGCGTTTTTGGAAATAAGCCCATAAATTCTTTAAGTAGGACACCGATAATACCTTCAGAAGAAGACGTTGAAACTTCTACATTCTAATACTCTTCAATTAACTTCTAATAAAAGGACCTAATTTTTTTCTTCTGCAAGATGTTGTGAAAAAATAAACCATTTGTGGTATTTGACAAAATATTACATAGAAAAGTAATGAGATAAAAGTATATTTTTATTAGGGGTAAAAATAGACTAAAAGAACTCTGCTGCTATGAAATAATTGATCCTTTTTATATTGCACAACTCTCCTGAGTTTTAATGATGAGTCAACCTTTCTGGTTTTGGAATAGATCTATACTTTGTTTCCCGCCTTGGGTTAAATGGATACTACTCGTTAGAATTGTTTCCAGATAACGTTGTCCCATATCAGTGGATCGGGAGCATGAGTATTCTAATAAATCTTTAGTATTACGAGACACTTATTTATCAGATCATGCAACGGTTACTGTAAAAGATGCATACTTGTTTGTCAAGTGTAATTGGCAATAGAACATAATAGTTGATCATTTATTCATTATCTTTGTAATGAATAAATTACGATCCCAAATATAAAATGTCTTATCGATATTTGTATATTTGGTTGTAGAAGCTAGGTATCCATTAATTCATACACTATTTCTTTATACTCTTTATCAGCAGTATAATTATATCAATATATAAGTAAATGAACCATTTATATTAATAGCTGTTCTATTCTCTCTCTGGGTAGCTAATCCATTGAGAGAACTATTAATATTAAGTTTCTCTTTCTTATAATTCTTGATTGATCTGAGAAGTTTCTCTTCTCGATCGGTGATATCGTAACTCAGTGGTATAGCATTCTGTATCCAACTGTCATTCGTATATCGTATTTAGGCCAATCATGCAATCTTTATATAGAAGTATGTACTCGAAGTAGGAGAAGTTGTATAGCAGTATACAAGCGTATGCTGATATGCAACATCAAAGGTTGTTTTAATTTCATAGTTTATTTATTTAGACGATTTGCTTAATTATTCTTTAAGTGGATCGTACCCAAATACGACACCATTACATGATAATTTTTATTATTTATAGGTATGATCCTATTATGTGTAACACCAAGCGATCTGTTGGTATATGGGCTACTTGAAGCGCTTATATGAGACACTACTGAGGGTTATTACTTTTCAACTGCCCAGATTATATTGTGTGATTGTCAGCAGGCTCCGGCTAATATATGGTGTCAGAAATTGTATTTACACAAAGATACGCAGCATCATAGGTGGGTATGATCAATATACAGGCAAAAATCCACCCAAAATACGAGCCATTTACAGTGAGGTAAACATAAAAGGTTAAAAAATAACATAAAAGGTAAAAAAAAAAAAAAAAAAAAAAAAAAATGTGGTTTTTATTACTATAAAAAAATGGAGACTCGCTAGCCAGTTTCAGTAAAGAAAACTGCCCAAGTGCAACTGCGAGGAAGTCAGTCTCCGTGTGCACTCACCCACTTTTTATTAGTTTTGATGGCTCGCAAAAAGGACTCCCGTGTATCACCACAAAGAGGTCAAAACACCATGTTCTCAACGTTGCAAACAGGACGCTCACTAATGAGAAATGCCTATCAACAAGCCGATTCCGACTGATCAGACGAGGGATCCGTTTCTTTCAACTCATGCAGCACAACCAGCAAGTAGAATATTACTTTGAATCACCAAAGACAACTTCCCCTCTTAAGCTGGGGCTCATGGAATATGCTCCTCAAGGTAAAAGTGTTGTTGAAAACGCTTTAGTAGCTTGTTAAAGAACCACAAAGGGCTGCCACATATACCTAGTGGGAAAGGTGATGTCACCCAGAACAAACCATCTACATTCAGTATTCCAGCAAAAGCCTTGAAACCTGGCATCTTCGGGGACCACCCCAAATGGCTTGATAACGAAATACCCGAATGAAGCAGCTAACCTGGAGTCCAAGATGTGTCGTGTGCTCTCATGTACACCATCGGGAATCACCCCAACGATGACCTTTGGCACGAAGAGAAAAAAAAAAGAAAAAAAAAAGGCTAAAAAAAATTTCTTGGCTATAAACAAACAGACTGACGTCACCAGCTTGTCACCTGCTTGCAAGTCTAGAGAGCACATTGTTATAGAATCTGTCAGCCAATTTTTTCTTAGGGGGACAGCCAAATTTTCTCAGGGGGGCAGCCAAATTTTTTCAGGGGGACAGCCAAATTTTTTCAGGGGGACAGCCAAATTTTATAAGGAGGACAGCCAAATTTTATTAGGAGGACAGCCAAATTTTCTTAAGGACAACCAAATTTTTTCAATGGGACAGCCAAATTTCCTTAGTGACAGCCAGGGTGTGCGTAGCTGTAATGTTGGTATTATGATACTTTAACTAATAGACATCAAGACGTCAATGTAACTTAACAATTTGAATTATATATACATTTATTACAGCCAACATAAATAGCGCTTCATACTTTCTACTGTAAGCTGGTAAGGTTTCCCATTATTATAAAATGAAATTAATCGTCGTATTTCGCTATAGGGAAGTAAAGATCTTTGCTGCTTGTGACCTATAGCCTATCAACATACATAAATAAAGTGATACAAAGATATCACACCTAGGCTAAAAAAACTTACTTAAACAGAGTAAATGCGGACGAATGGGCGAATAGTCGTCTGGGGGTAAGCATCCGTTCAAATCTGAGCGGATAGTCGTCCGTGAGCGAGTATCCGTTCATTTTGGGTAAATAAACAATGGTACACAAAAAATAAAATTACTTCATTTACTCAAAAAGGGTAAATATTCGTCCAGGGGTAACTGTTCGTTCATTTTGAGTAAAATATAAACGTTGCACAAAAATTTAAGCTTTTTTATTCGTTCCATTTACCTGCAGCAGACGAGTATTCGTCTATGGGCGAGTACTTACTCACATTGGGTAAATAAAAATTACTTTATTCGTTCCATTTACCTGCAGCAGACGAGTATTCGTCTATGGGCGAGTACTTACACTATGGCGGATTTGTTGTTTGTTGTAAACAACTTTGTTGACAGAATTAACAACTGTTGTTGATTTTGTCAACAAAGTTGTTGACCATTTGTTTTTATAAAGAAGAATTGTTGCTGGCCAACAACTTTGGTGAATTATTCAACAAGTGTTGATTGCAGATTTGTTTATCAATTCTGGTGTCAGGATTTTTCTATTCTCAACCAGACGTTTGAGATTCATTCACGTCATTTTGTCCATGTTTATTTTTATTTTTATTTCTATTTCTATTTCTGTATTTCTTAAAGGTTACTCGCATTCCTCCATCTTGGAGTATAGCAATTCCCAAATAATGTGACGCTATATGACTGTGCAATAATTTTCAGCCTTGGTGTATTGGACATGGCCAACGTTACAAACGATATTTTTGAAGCGACAAACAACATTCTTATGTTGACCAGAGCGACGTAAGACCA